TCTGGGTGGGTGGGATGGCTGCCTTTCTCCCCCCATCACTCAGCGCGATGCTAGTCAGCGCAGGCGTCCGTTAGCTGACGTAACAGATCTGGCGGTTGGCGCTTTCCTCCGAGCGCGTTCAGCTGTCCAATGACGTTGCATGAGCGGCTGGTTTCACAGGTCTTGGAGGAAGCCTGTGTTAGCCTCGCCCCGCCCTCCTAGCGTTGATAGCGTCATGTGTGATTGGGGGAGTCCTAACTAGCGGGTGGAATTGGAGACGACTAAATACCAGGTAAAAATTGAAAAAAATAATATCTGCTGAAATCACATGGGATTCCTGGCAGGAACATACTAAGGCGGAATGTTTTAACTGACCACCGGCTTTGTGTCCGACTGCCACAGCGTCAGCAGCACTTCTCTGTGTGAGCAGACACTCGTTCACTGCCAGCTTGAGTCCTTTGTTCATCAGCACAGCAGCATAGACTAGACGCATGTATCGGCCTGATACCCGATACCAGTATCGGTATCGATGCATCCCTAAATGGAGTGGAAACGAATCCGACAGGCATCGTCTTCTTTCAAGTCGAAGGTCTGGGTCCACTATGGCTTTTGCAGCATTGATGGGGCATGAAATAGACAAAGACTACGCGATTTACAAGAAATGTCTCGTTAAAATAAAGTACACGGGCAATACAACGAACATGCATCATCACCGTCTTCGTCATCATCCTGATCTGGTTGTAGAGAAAACAGCCAACGCTACCACAACTCAAAGTCAGCCTTCATTAGAAAAGATTTTAGAGAGGCACAGTTGTGTTCTAGCTTTTCCAGACATTGTAACCCCAGAACTGTTCTGCTTTCTGGTAGTTTATGGCTATTTTACATTGGACTGATGACACAAGCCGTCAGTGTATGTGTATTAAAGAGGCATGAAGCTAAGCTTTGTGCTTTGTCGCACATCGTTTCATACTGGTTGTCAAATTCTGTGAAACTGACACTAATAAACACAATTCCGGCTATTTGCCTATTTCAGAGTATTTTATTTTCTACAGTTTCACAGACGTCATGATGTATCGTAGAAGACTGTCTTCCAACATATCGAGTAACACAGAATCACAGTATTGTGATATCTTTATCGTGAGCAACATATCGTTATAATATTGCATCGTGAGATGCCCTGTGATTCCCAAACCTCACCTACACAGGTATCAACACGATGCAATATGATGAGCAGTAGACAGTAAATGCTCATCAATTGGGGGCTTGCATAACCAACACCTACTTTGACAAGAAATGGCCGTTCAAATGACATCCACACCCATAGAGGACTGCTTTTACATGATGTTTAGGGGCCAGGTTAGTTAAGGTTCCTGCCTGTTGCTTAGTAACATGAGGGTCACAGTGCATTTTGCGAAAGATTCAACTACTGTAGTAATCAGTGGTTTTCGCTAGAAACTACAAGATCTTTACTGGAAATGGTGGTGTGCTCAAAATCACTCTACAATTCAGTGATATAATTTAGACGTGAAGGCCCTGTTCATAGTTGGTATTAACAGCACTGTTGAGCGATCTGATCACAAGTTGACAGCAAGATGTACAGCTGCTTACACGTTTCTTTTCCTTGTGTTTTGAATGCATCTCCAGCCAATGTAAGCTGTAACTGGACGAAGGACACTGCACACAGTATCTCGCCGTGTTTGTTGCACAGGTTGTTACAACTCTCACACAAACGGGAGAGAAGACGGGGACGGAAGCTACTCAGGTGCTTTCGTCTCTGCTGCAATAACACTGTTGACTACGTGGTCCTTCACTGCTGTCGGAGACGGATCAGGGCTCACACTACAACTGTTATGCGTCCCTGACCACCTCAGGTGGTGGCTCGAGTGATCAGACCACAATGTGGTCTGCCGTACCCCGTTCTGACTTGTACTCAGTGCTGTCCACTCATGATCGGATGACCTAAGACAGGGGTTTTCAACTCTTTCCACCCCAAGGCCCACCTGTTTACAAACACAAAGAATAGCGGCTCACAGGAAAACTAAAATCAGCTTTTTAAATACAATTTTCTTTTCTTAAGTGCTGAAACTGAAAATCTGAGAATCAGAGCCTGAAAAAAGACCAGACTGTCCATTTTGGCTCAATTGCAGGTCCCAAAGTTCGCAGTTATGTTAAAAAATACATTTGCAGAGATGTTAAAATGGAGAAAATGCAGTACATCGCATTTTCAGGGAAAATATTCCACTGCCTTTGGTTTCTCTTTAGTTTCGAGGGCATTTGTGATTAATCTGAAATAGCCAAACCTCAGTCCACTCACCGGGCTTTAGGACTAGCATCGTCACAATCAACAATAATAATAAACCTCACTTTAAATCTGCTTTTTTGTCATTGGTTTATCAATTTGACTTCAACCACTCACGTCGCTGATGCTCAGCCAAAAATATGTTGCCTCCCCAGAGTTCAAGCCTGCGGACCACTACAGCGGACCACAGGGTCCTTTGCTTTGAGCAACCCTGACCTAAGACACGTGTTACATGGGGCCTATTAGAAAAATGTCAGACATGTTATAGCACCCTAAAAACGCAACCAGTGACCAATTTCGGTCACAGCCACACCTTCATAACGTAATCCATCACATTAATGATAACGTATGGTCACAGTGCCAACCACGAACCAACCCTCTCCTCGCTTTACACTATATAGAGCCTGTACATTCTTCAAAGGCCTTCACATTCCTAAAGGGCTTAGCCAGAAACTCAAAACATGTGGCCTGCTGCTCACGACACCTCTAACTCCCATCTACTGAAAGCAAACCTTCACTTATGACTCCATGAATCCAACACACTGGCCAACAGGACCACGGCGGACACTGTAATCCAGAGCAGCAACATCACAGCATCTGTGAGAAAGACCTGAAGAACAAGCACCGAGGAATAACGCTGGACATTTACAGTATAGAAAGGGATCCGTCAGCTAACGGGTGCTGCTGGAAAGACGTCACTCACAGTCCAGACCGTGAACGAGAACAATATCACGCTTGCTGCGCCGAGACAAAACTACGATGGTGTTTTAGGGCCACTGTTAATAAAAAAAAAAGTTGTAGAATTACGACATTAAAGTGGCATTAATATAAGGAAAGGTCGCAATACTGTGTTGGTGGAGTTTCATATCGATTTCACCCATAAAGAAATACTCAGTCTCCCTGCCTCTCCTGCACATCAGCACCAGGAAACTGTGTTTATCTAGAATAAAGAGCCAGACGGACTCGGAGGAAACTGTCTGTCTGTGTTGTTGAAGGAGAATCTCAGGCAGGGTCGTCCACGCGGCTATCGGGGGCTACATCTCCCCCCATTCAAAGAGGGCATGAAGTTTCACAGACAGTGAGAATGATAATCAAAATGATCCACAGAGAGACAGGAGTGAGTGGAGCTCCGGCGCCAGTACAGCAACCGAGACCCCAACGTGTTATGGCAGCCCCCCTACAGTTAGCCCACTTTATCCTCCAAATATTACGACCTTTTTCACGAAGTCTACTATTTTTATTTTTATTAACAGTGGCCCTAAAACGCCATGATACAAAACAGGGGGTTTACTAGGAAAATTTCTTCTGGGACGTCCTGATAACAGAACCCCAAATCACCAGATTTAAGGTGTCGCCTGATTTCAACACAGCTAACTTTGAGAATAATATCAACAGCTTTGAATATTATATGGACCAAATCGTGTTATAGACATATTGGAGATGAAACTCTCACCACAGAGTATTTAAAGGACCAAGAGCGGCTACACTCTTGAAAAAGTTGGTACTTTAAGGGTTCTTTAGCGAAGTATGGTGAAATGGTTCCTCAGACTGATGGAAAATATGTTATATATGGCTCAACGTTCAATATAGCACCCAAAAATGTTATGCTGTCAAGCTTGGAACGAAAGAAGAACGCTTTCTGGTGCTAGCACGTTCTCCATCAATCTGATGAACGATTTCACCCTGCTAAGAACAATTTAGGCATAAAATGGTTCTACATAGCACCAAAAAAGGTGCGGCTACTGTTACGATGTCAAGCTTGTAACAACAGAAGAACCCTTTTTGGAGCTATATAGAACCACTCAAAAAGGTTCTGCATAAGTAGGACTAGTCTGCCTTTCCTCCCCTATGTGAATAAAACCCACTGCGCAGTACACTCTTTAAAAAAGGTGGTTCTTGAAGGGCAATGGTTCTGTATAGAACCATGAACACTCACGCTTAAATGATTCTTTGCATGGTGAAATAGTTCTACAGACTGATGGAGAACGTGTTGTATATGGAACCTTTTTGAAAATGGTTCTATGTAGCACCAAAAAGGGTTCTTCTTTTGTTCCAATGTCAATCTTACAACAATAGCAGAACCATTTCTTGGTATTATATAGGCCACATGCAACACATTCAATCTGAAGAACCATTTCACCATGCAAAGAACCATTTAAGCATGAAAGGGTTCTTCTATACAGAACTGATGGTTCTAAATAGAACCATTCCATTTACCAAAGAACCACCTTTTTTTAAGAGTGTGCAAAAATTGATTTAAAGGTTAAAACGATCTGAATGCAAATGGTTCTTTGAATGCACATGGTTCTACGTAGAACCAGTGTCTTTCCTGAAGAACCGTCTTCTTCAGGAGTGTAGTTAAGCTAACCTCTCTCGCTCACGAAAAACGAAGCTGGAGTCGGCTTGTTGTTCGAATTTTCCCGTTCCACCTTAAATGGTGCAGCAGTTGATGAAACAGCCATACCATTTAAGGTGGAACGGGGTAAATTCGAACAACAAGCTGGCGAAAAGGAAATCAACTTCAGCCTCGTTCACAAAAACAAGGCTCGCTCAGGGCTCATCTGCTGTTAGCCTAGCCAAGCTAGCTAGGATAGCCGGCTACCTAAAGTAGGTTAGCGCTGACTTTAAACGACAAAATAACCCGAGTCAGGGCCTCGTCTTTCGGAACCAACCCCACAACTCAGTGTCTATGTCTTCTCCTCGACCCCGACTCCATACTTACTGCTGAGCTTCAGGTTCCCGAAGCCGGCCGAGCTAGCGCCGGAGGCCTGTGCAGCCCCGGACTTACCCGCAGCGCTCCCGCCGGCCACGGCCGATCCGGCTGCAGCCGCGCCGGCTCCCGGAGCCCCCGGAGGCTCGGCGAACGAGCTGGTCCTGGGCCGCCCGCTGCCGCTCATTTTCGGTTTCTGAGAGAGTGCAGGGGCGGGGGGGCGGGAAAAGAGTGTCGGCAGACACTGTGTCAGTTTAAACGATAAACACCCGTAAAAGAAGAATTAAAAAAGAACATAAAGAGCGCTTGAGCGGCTCGCAGCTACGTCTCCTCTTTTCTTCCCCCCCCAGGTCTACGGCTTGTGCTGTTGGACCTGACGCGCCGCTCGCATGGTCTGCTGGGAAACGTAGTTCCACAGAATCAGAGCCAGGATCGGGTGGTTAAAGGGGAACTCCACCAATTTTTCAAAAACTTCCACATAATTAAATCATTAAGATTTAAACAAAGTCGTTCAGAGAGGTGTGGGGTGGAATGCTATGTTCTAGAGAAACTTGCAGAGGCAGAATTGTTCACAGTGGCGGTGATAGGAACCAGACGTCTGAGGTGCCTCACAGGAAGTTATTACACGAAATGGTTGCGAATACGCTGCCTGATGTCTGAGGCACAGTTTCGCTACAGTTCTGTGATAGCGGACGGGTACACGCAGGGTTTGTAAGGCAAAAGAGACCCCAAAGAAAAGATATTTTTTCAAATTTGCCACTATTTTACCACCATCAACAACTCAGAAGACTTGTGTCGGTTCATTGGTGGTTTTGGATAGTAAATAAAATGGCTATATTTGTGTTGTAGACATGGCGACCCCTGGTTCCTATCACCACCACTGTAAAGAAATCTAATTCAGTAAGTTTCTCTGCAATGAACTAATTTACATCAAACTGCTCTAAATGACTTCGTTTGCCTCTCAAGCACTGAATAAGACAGATACATTCAGAAAAATCAGCGGATTTCCCCTTTAAGGCTTTGTAGGCCGAGCATGTTGGCACATGCAAGGAATTTGTCTTCAGTTCCACAGTAGCTGACAGTAGAAATGTCACACTTAAGTACAGTAACACACTTAACTGCAGTAACATAGACACCCATAAGTGAATTCTACCGTGTACGTTCACACATTCATTAATAAAAAACAACGTGCAAAGTATTTGTGTAAAGTGCAGAGCACAGTAAGAGGGCAGTGTTAAATAAAAAATAAAAAAAAATAAATAAAGTGAAGTACAAATCAATCTGTCAAGCAGCACAATGTACATGTGCCTAATTACTCATGAGTACAATGGTGTGAGGACAGCTCTGAGTCTGGTTGTTTAGGTGATGGGCGAATTACAATGGGTCAGCGACGATTTTCTCAGGAAGCTTCCCGGCTCAAGCAGGGTGGGCAGGTTATTCTTCATGGTGTTTCGTGTCTCATGAAGGATGTAAAGGATGTGAAAGGTACATTTCTAAAGCACTGTACAGAGTCAGAACTGTTCCCAGTGGTGGTGATAGGAACCAGACGTCTGAAGTTTTTAAATAAGTTTAAACACGTTTTTTCTACAACTACCTATTTACATTAAACCAGTGTGAACTGACTGTTTCTCAACCACTAAATCACACAAATTTTAAAAAATCAGTGAACTTCTCCTTTAAACTGAACACGTTCTAGCTAAGATATTGGGAACCACATGTTTAAAAACATTACATTCATTTATGCAAAGACATTTGATTCAATAGACAATTACAACACAAGAAATGTTATTTTTATTTTTTCATATTTCTGTTCCAGTGGTAGAATCACTTACAGTGGAGACTGTAGGGTTTTGGCACCCCTGATCAGATGATATGTTTTTTGTTGATTTTTCTGAGTGTAAATACACCGATCAGGCATAACATTATGACCACCTCCTTGTTTATCCGCTCATTGTCCATTTTAGCAGCTCCACTTACTATATAGGAGCACTTTGTAATTCTACAGTTACAGACTGTAGTCCATCTGTTTCTCTGATACTTTGTTAGCCCCCTTTTACCCTGTTCTTCAGTGGTCAGTACCCCCATGGACCCTCACAGAGCAGGTACTATTTGGGTGGTGGATCATTCTCAGCATAACACTGACGTGGTGGTGGTGTGTTTGTGTGTTGTGCTGGTACGAGTGGATCAGACACAGCAGTGCTGCTGGAGTTTTTAAACACTGTGTCCACTCACTGTCCACTCTATTAGACACTCCTACCTTGTCAGTCCACCTCGTAGATGTAAAGTCAGAGACGATAGCTCATCTGCTGCTGCACGGTTTGTGTTGGTCATCCTCTAGTCCTTCATCAGTGGTCACAGGACGCTGCCCACAGGACGCTGTTGGCTGGATGTTTTTGGTTGGTGGACTATTCTCAGTCCAACAGCGACACTGAGGTGTTTAAAAACTCCAGCAGCACTGCTGTGTCTGATCCACTCGTACCAGCGCAACACACACTAACACACCACCACCAGGTCAGTGTTACTGCAGTGCTGAGATCCACCACCCAAATAGTACCTGCTCTTTTTTTAGTTCGGTAATGCAGCCTTTCGCGCATTAACTGAGATCTCACACGTCTCCTCTTCTGTCTTCAGTGTGAGAAATGAGCACCAATTCACTCTTTCCACCAAACTCTTGGGAAATTTGGGCAACTTTTCAGATTTAAAGATCTGCTACAGCATATCGTTGAGTTTATCACAGGTATCCTGGACAGAGTCACAGTTTTAGGCCATAAAGGACCAACTTGGAGAACCAGTCTGCTACAGTGCCACCCTGAGGCAGAGCAGTGCTGCAGCTCTAATTAGTTATGAATACCAAAGACAAGCTCTGCGATTGTGGGTGAAGCTGCTAAACCCACATAGAATAAAAACATACATATATTACATTACATGTAATACAAATTACATAATACATAATAGGTTTTTGATACATTTGAAATGGAAAACATTTTAAATACATTGCAATCCCCACCAAAACACATTCCAAACACTGAACTGTATTTCAGAATATGCTGCTTTATTAAACAAATATACGTTAAAATACATTGATTTTAATATACAAAGGGAAATTTTACACATACCATACAAAAATAATAAATGTTAGTAAATGTATTCATCAAATACATTTGAAAATGTATGAAAATGGCCAAAATGCTAAAAATCTAACACACTTTACTGTTTGGATACATTTTGAAAGTAATTTGTATTCCATCTATATCATCTTATATCTTATATCTTAATTTTATTAGCATTGAAAAAAGTATTAGCAAAAAAATTGGTGCATCACAGCACTGCTGTATCTGATCCACTCGCACCAGCGCAACACACCACCACCACGTCAGTGTTACTGCAGTGCTGAGAATGATCCACCACCCAAATAGTACCTGCTCTGTGAGGGTCCATGGGGGTCCTGACCACTGAAGAACAGGGTAACAAAGTACACAGAGAAACAGATGGACTACAGTCTGTAACTGTAGAACTACAAAGTGCTCCTATGCGGTCAGTGGAGCTGATACGATGGACAATGAGTGTAGAAACAAGGAGATGTTCCTAATAAAGTGCTCACTGAGTGTATAGTCATATGCAAATGTTTGGGCACCCCTGGCCAAACGACATGCTTTGTTAATTTTGATATTTCTTAAGTATGCAAATTCTGCTAATTTTAGCACATAATTTCTTTCTTTTTTTTTGTTTTGTTTAACATATTGGACAAAAATATAAAATATAAAACCAGCTAAAAGTTTTCACCAGGTTGTTAAATTAACAAATAAAGCCTAACTGTGCATTAACTGGGGCGGCACAGTGGCGCAGTGGGTAGCGCTGTCGCCTCACAGCAAGAAGGGTGGGTTCGATTCCCAGCCGGGCGCCCGGGGTCCTTTCTGTGTGGAGTTCTGCATGTTCTCCCCGTGTTTGCATGGGTTTCCTCCGGGTACTCCGGTTTCCTCCCATAGTCCAAGAACATGCAGTCAGGCCAATTCGAAATGCTGAATTGCACCTAGGTGTGAGTGTGTGATTGTATATGTATGTCTGTCTGCCCTGCGATGGACTGGCGACCTGTCCAGGGTGTATCCTGCCTTCCGCCCAATGACAGCTGGGATAGGCTCCAGCACCCCACCGTGACCCAGAAGGATAAGCGGTTTAGATGATGTATGTATGTGCATTAACTGTGCATTAAAATGTTCTTTGTAGACAATGTCTTAACTTATTTTCACTCAGCATACAAAATGGGATTTGAGCAGGGGTGCCCAAACTTTTGCACACAGCGGTACATCCATCGCCTTTACTGAAGAACCCTTAAAGGGCACCACCACATTTAAAGTAGGCCGAGTATTAAACGTCACACTACACAACGTTAAAAAGGGTCCTCGGGGTGTTTTTACACAGATATTTAAATCAGTTTAGTGTTTCTCACAAAGCCGAACACATTAAAACGAGCCTAAAAGGAGAACCAGGTAACAGAAACGTTGCTCAGCTCTTCAATCCCGACTTCTGGTTCTAAATCATCTGGTTAAGTAAAATCCCGCTCTGGCCGGAATCGGCTCGGTTTGCCGCGAATAAGTTTTTGACTGACATCCGCGGCGCCCAACCAGCGTCCCCTAAAGCCGTTACGTCAGGAAAAGGGGCGGGGCTTCGGACACAGCGTTGAAGACCCAGCGGATGGAGAAACGGTACAAACCGTCAGCGCCGGCGTCTGTTTATCGGGCTGATTTCCCGGAGAAACGCTCGCGGGTTGCGCTCGTCGTGTTCTCGCTTCGGTAGCGGAGGCGTTTAAGGAGCCCGCGGACGCCCCGAGACCGCAGCACGGCGGCCCGCAGGAGAGAAGGTAAGCGTTAGCAGCGCGCAGGGGGAAGGGGAAGCAGCAGGCCTCGCTCGGGCGCGCCGGACCTGCGGGGAAAAGTGAAGAGCGCCGCCTGACGACCGCCACGCTGCGGGGGGAGCCCAGCACAGCCGAGTCGGGCCGTGCAGGAGGGCGCGCAGAGCGGGGAGAGCGCCGCCACCCGCCCGCCACGGGCTAAACCTGCGGTTCTCACTGACGATATTATAAATGTAACGACATTCTTATTTACAGGTCGGTACGATTCGCGATTCCGAGGCCAAAATTTAGCCCTGTTTCGGTATTTTTATATCTCGATTAATCACATTTAAGCGCACAAAAGTTTATGAAAGTTTTCAGTAGAAATTTTAAACTTAGGATTAATCTTTGTTCGCTCTTAAAATAGATGGATCTTCAAGGGTTCTTCAGTAAGAGCAGTGGTTCTGTTTAGGGCCATGTGTTTCATATTTCATGCTTAAATGGTTCTTTGCATAGTTAAGTGTTTCTTTTTGGAAATGGTTCTACATTGCACCAGAAAGGGTTCTTCAGACTGATAGAGAACGTGCTGCAGATGGTTCTATGTAGAACCTTTTTGAAAAGTGTTCTGTATAGCACCAGAAAGTGGTGTTCTGTTGTTATGATGTGAACAACAGGAGAACCCTTTTATAGTGATTATATATATATATCTTATATTTTATATTTATATATATATATATATACACTTTTAAAAAAGAGGGTTCTTTAGTAAGGAAAGTGGTTCTATATAGCACCTAAAAGGGTTCTTCTGTTATTACATACTTCATGTCAACAATAGAAGAACACTTTTAGTGCTATATAGAACCATCTGCAGCACATTCTCCATCAGTCTGAAGGACACTTTCACGATACAAAGAACCCCTTAATCATGCAAAGGGTTCTTTGAGTGTTCATATTGAACCATTTTTCTGAATAAACCCTTGAAGAACCATCTTTTCTAAGAGTGTAGAACCATTTTCAAAAAGGTGCTATGTAGACCTATATACGACACGTTCTCCATCAGTCTGTAGAATCGTTTCATCATGCAATGAACCATTTAAACATCAAATTGTTCTACGTAGAACTCATGGGTTCCTTTATTAAAGAACCACTGACGTACCATCTTTTTTAAAGAATGTATATAGAACCACAAATGAGCCATTGACATACCGTGCATCTTTTGTGTCCAGGTCCATTATTTTCCCCCAAAATAATTTAATAAATACATGATATACCAAATTATTAAACAGTACCTCTTTTATGTGAAACAATTTTCAGTGCATCCATATAAAATTAATTTTAGTTGCCTCCGAAAGTCTGAAAGTGTCAGGTGCTGCCAACCGTCTGACCATGTATGTTAAGTAAACTGTCAAAAAAGATCATTTAGTTATATAAAATTTTAAATGAAATTATTTTGCATGATTTTATGTTTGAAAACTTGAATAAAAAAAAACATATTGCAAAATAAGGCAACTTCAAAAGTGCTCAACTCACTGAAAATCTTTTTTCGCAAAGGTCAGGTGGCACAACCAAAAACAAAGGACTTTTATTTTGACATGCTTGATGAAATGAAAAGAGGAAAATGAAAGATGAAAGACGAGGGTATTGCATCATAAAGAAGACCCCAACTGAACTGTATCAGAGCCGGTTTATGAGGAGCCTGGCCACTTCCTATTTCCCCCATTATATCAAAAACAACAATGTGTTTAAGTGCTGATGATTTGCCTCGTATGCTCAGAGTAACACATTGTGAAATATTGTGACTTCATTTATCATGACAGCAATATTGTCACATTACCCAGCTCTGGTATCTGTGAAATAACTTCACAAACTAATTATTTTTATATAAAAGATATGAAGTGAAAAAGACGAGGCTAGTATTGTTAGCTGAAGTGACAGATGATGAGCGTGTTGTCTTTTAGGCTGCATTTGCACAGCAGGTAAAAGTGGCCCAAATCTGATTTTCTCACCAAATCTGATTTTTTTTGTTTGGCTGTTCACAATATCTTCTAAATGTGATCTGTATGAGACATCAGTCTGAGCAGATCAGCTCCTAAACTGACCCACATACACAAACGAACAACGCGGCTCTTCCAGAGCTGAACTATCATGACTATGAACGAGCGCCAGTCCCTCCCGGAGGATCAGCTTCATCTTCACCAGCATCACAGGAGCCATCATGAAGCTTCACTGACTGACAGCTGGACTCATCACCCAGAATGTGTTCGAGCCGTAAAAAGGGCGCGGTCACTTCTTTGGTTTGTGTCCTCGGATTCTTTAAACTTTGCTTTCAGACTTTTAACTGTTCTTTGACGCTGCAGCCTCGTTCTCCTGCGGCCGCGTTCGGACATTTCTTCCGAAATCTCTTCAAACACGGAGGGTTTGGATGAGTCTATATAGAAACATCACCCCAATTGTTTGAGTCTCAGCAGCATGAAATTATGATAAACGTGAAGCTGGATTGATGTAAAAGCCGCGTATGTGGTACTGAAATCCGATATCTATCCGATATGCGGCAATGCGACTCAGTCTCAACAGCCAGATCGGAATTCATGCAACTTTTACGTCAATTCAACTCAACATTCGTCATAATTTCGCGCTGCTGAGACTCAAACATTTAGTCTGAAGTTTCTATACCAAAACTTTAGAAGAGACTCATCAAAGCGCTCCGTGTTCGAAGAGGTTTCGGACGAACCGGCCGAACGCGGCCGGAGGAGCCCGAGGCTGCAGCGTCAGAGAACAGTTTAAAGAATAATGCGCCCTTTTTATGGCAAACTCAAACACACTGTGGGTGATGAGTCCAGCTGTCAACCACTGGAACTTTATACTCGCTCCTGTGATGCTGGTGAAGAGGAAACTGAGCCCTCCGGGAGCGACTGGCGTTCACTGGCCATCATGATTGTTTACCTCTGGACGAGCCGCCACGTGAAGCACTGTTCTTTCGTGTATGCGGGTCAGTTTAGGAGCTGATCTCTTCAGACTGATGATCACATTTAAAAGATAATGTGAACAGCTAAACAAAAAAAAAATCAGAATTGGTGAGAAAATCAGATTTGGGCCACTTTTACCTGCTGTGTAAACGTAGCCATAGATACACATCTGTGTCACATACCAAGATTGGATGTTGGATTTCTGCGCTGGTGTGTATAATTTCGTTAAAAAAAAATGTTTTGAATTACTGGAAGTTGCAAAATAAAAAAAACAGCATGTAAAAGGTTTGTATTTTAATGTTAACACTGTGAAATGTGCAGAGAATCATTTTCACCACAATTATCATGATTCCACACAAGACAGCGCTAATACTGCTCAAGTAGCGTTTGTCCACACCAGCAGGAATGAGTGAAAGACTGGAGTCTCTAATTTCAGAACAGGAAGCAAATCTACCTTAGCTGTAATACCTAAAGACCCAATGTTACTTTAGATTCTTCTTTAAATGTAATAATTTAGTTCTAAAAAACTGGCTAAAGATAGTCAATACGCTACAGCACACCAGGCGGCGCCTCACCTTTCGAATCCAATAACGTCTTTGGGATGATGCTTATCAGCAGACAAATGGTAAAATCTGAAATCTGGTTTTGCATATTAAACACACACCTTTGTTTACAAACATCTGGATTCGGTTTTACAGTGTTCCACTTACCTGATGGACTACAACTGCCATAAACACTAGAACTGACTTTAAATGATTGACTACAACTTCCATGAACACTTGGAATTGACAAAATATTTGAATGGAGATGCACACATGGTGGTGATAGGAACCAGGGGTCACTGTGTCTACAACACAGATGTAGCTACTCAATTTACTCTCCAAAACGAGGAGTGATTCTACACGTCGCCTTGGATTTTGTTTGTAATGTATATAAGGGTGAAATAGTGGTAGGTGGGCTCCCGAGTGGTGCAACTAAGCGTTGGCCCTGTCATCAGGAGATCACGAGTTCGATCCCTGGTGACGCTACAGCCATCCGTAGCCGGGAGTCCAAGAGAGCAGAGTTGGCCTCGCTCTCTCTGGGTGGGTAGGATGGCCCCCCGTCTCCCCCATCACTAAGTGCGATGCTAGTCAGCGCAGGCGTCTGTTATCTGACGTAACAGAACCGGCGGTTGGCGCTTTCTTCCGAGAGCTGTCCAATGACGTTGCAGCACTTCAGAAGATGCAGTGGCGCTTCACATGACTCATAGGTGGTGCTAGCCTTCGCCCTCCTATCACTGGAGGTATTATGTGATTGGGGGGGGTCCTAACTAGTGGATATTGTCTAAAGTTGGGGAGAAAACTTTTTTGGGTACTATTTTTTCCTTATAATGACCTGCACCTACCTCTCCACCATGAATAGATTAAAAAAAGTTGTTCATCTCAAAGTTGTCATAACACAACATCTCAGACATCAGTCAGTGAATTCATAACCATTTCATGCAATAATATTCTGTGAGGGAGCTTTTAGAGGCATTGAGCACTTCAGGCGTCTAGTTTGTATTAGGGATTTGCACAAACTAAGGCTCTTTGTTTACAAACATCTGGGTTCGTTCTACAGTGTTCCAGTTACCTGATGGACTACAACTACCATAAACACTAGACCTGACTATGGATAATTGACTACAGCTTCCATGAACACTTAGATTTGACAAAATATTTGATTGGAGATGTTTATATGTGCGCACTCCTGGCAAGTATAGCTGCATCGTACAGTGCCTGGGATATTTCACTAAGTTAGCCAGATAACTTAAGCCCAAAATTGAGGATTATCCAATAGGAATGTCCCTCAGCTCTTTTCCTATTGGATGAGCTGACCTATTTTGAACTGAGAAATCTTGTTTGATAGGTCTGTCAAATTAATATATAATCAAATGAATATATAAATATATATTTTTTTAATTTTTTATTTTATTTATTTATTTTTTTCCCAGATTTTTCCAGTCACTATGAAGCGGAGGAGGCATCTCAGCTATGGCGACGCTTCATGAAAAACCAGAACGAATGATCATAAACTAGAAGCTTCACCCACAAAACACTGTGACGGGATTAAGACTACTCGTTTGAGCCACGCCTCTCCCTCAGTAGAAGTAAAGGGATAGCAATACAGAACGCACACAAACGGAGCTTCCTCTGGACTGCAGTGACCATGGGTGACCAGCAGGAGGAGTATGTGGAGCATCAGTATATGTGCAGCGAGTGTCAGCAGCTGTTCAACACTCTGGAGGAGGTGCTGATCCACCAGCAGATACACACCGGCCCGGAGGGGGAAGATGCGGAGGGTCTGTCCGGCCAGGAGGACTCCGGAGAGAGCCAGTATCAGTGCTTGGAATGTGGCTGCCTCCTCAGGAACTCCGAGGAACTGCTGCTCCATCAGGAGATGCACATGAGAGAGGCCGGGCTGGATGGGGAACATGGTGCGTATGAGTGGGTGGGAAAGAGAGCTGTTAAAGCAGGTGAACAGCCAAATGAGGACACAATCGTTAAAGGGGAATTCCACCAATTTTTTTACAAATTCAAACAAAAAGCTGGTGAATGATAATCTGACTTCAGCTTCGCGACATTTTAGTGTTTGTCAGTTTCTCGTTTCAGATTAAACGTATCAGGAAACCAGCTGGAGTGATTATAAACACAAACAAGTCCATTCGTCTCCAAATTATCAATGTTTGTCTAAAATCTCTCACTTTGCTGTCTTGTTAGCTAGTAGCTAGGCAAGATTGTTGTCTGTGTTGCTATGGTGACCAGCAGTCTGCGCGCCAACCTTCAGGGTTAAAGGGTGAATTAGCAGTTCTACCAGAGAACTTGTAGAGAGGAGAATTACCACTCTGCCATGTTATCCGGGTTTCTCAAACACTAGAGGGCGCTCCCGAGTGAGTCCAAAATGAATGGGTTGATACGGAGCATTTGAGCAAAATCATAGTTTATAAATGCTTAAACATTTTTAATGTAAAAGAATACGATCATTTCCTGAACACCGAACAGCATAAAACATTTTAACACTGCTGTTATAATTTTAAGAGCTTTTAAACTCGAGTTATAGGAGTTTACAACTGCACCCCAACCAATCATCACGCTCTAGCAGTAATGCCCGCCTTCTGCTGCCCAAAACCTGTTTGCTGTAGAAAAAAGGAAACGTACAGGTGAGATTTCTTTGTTTTTTTAGTGAAATCCATTCTTCTACTGTCTAAAATTAAAGAAACGTTCTGGGCGAGGGATTAGAAACTATTTTAACTTATTGTTTTTAGCTGTTGAGCTCCATTTACTCCCATTCATTGAGGACTCCCTCGTGGGCGCCCTCTGCTGTTTGGCAGTCCTGTTTTTGATATAACGGGGGGGATAGGAAGTGGCCAGGCTCCTCATAAACAGGCTCTGGTTGTACATTAACTCCAGTGTTTAAGACCTTTGGCTGTTAAAAGTGTGTTGAATGATCAGCAGAACTTTTTTTACCTTAAAGAGGATCTAATTCTGCTGTGGAGCCGCAACAGGACAGTAAAAGAGCCGCGTGTTGCCGACCACTGAGATAGATGGATATAGATATTAGATCTTTAGATAGATTAGATAAACATACTGTATTTAGGTAGATTTTTGACTGGTTTGTTTGTTTATTTATCCAGCAGAGTTGTGTGAGGTGGCAGAAACAGACGCAGCAGTCGCAACTGTGCCGATTCACTACCAGTGTCTGGAGTGCCTGGCCCTCTTCGACACCCCCGAGCTGTGGATGGCACACAGACAAACGCACGGCAAGATCAGCACGCACAGCAACATGTCTGAGGCTGTGAGTACACGCACCACTGAGTATAACAAAGGGTCTGTTGTTTTGTCATTAAACGGTCATTAAATACAAGTCATTCATTTCAGCATCAGGAAAATAGCAGTAAATATATTTAACAGAAAACACAGAAGCCTCAACCACTAAATCTTTTTCAGCATTTACTGTGTCCACTCTTCACTTTTATTCCAGCTTCCACTCTTTTCAGGAGACTCACTTTCAGTTCCTCAAAGAATCTGCAGACACGCCTCCAAAGTTCAGTCTTAGAAGCTGGTTGATCATTTTCTGAAGTAATCAAACACATTCAGTGGTGTTGAGGTCTGGACTCTGGGGTGGTCAGTCCATTGTTCAGCTTCTTTGTTTGATGTGTCCGTCTCCTTTTCTCAGTGAGGTTCTTCCTGACAGCTACACATCCTTTCAGACCCACAGCGCTGAGTCGTCTTCTCACAGTGGAAGGATGGACAGAAACACCGGATGTTTTCAGATCTGAAGCAGCTTGATTTTCTCCTCTCTCTCAGAGATGAAAGCTTTAAGTGCTGTTTATCTGATGGGGGCAGTGTTGGTGTTTACCGGGTGTTTCAGGTGGTTGTTAGGAGCCCCATAGCTCTGTAGCTTAATATGTCCCTGAACTCCAGTTTTGGAAGCTCCTGTTTTTACACTTGTTTTCCTTTGACTTTCCCCTTTCTTATGCAAGTAATTTATCTTGTATCTAATCTCCTGCAAAATGAATGACTGGAATGAACTGGAAATTAAATATATATGTATGTAAAGTTGGTCTCTGACTTGCACAGTACTGTATTTCACTGCCACAGCAGTGATACTGTAACCTAAGAATGGCTCTGAAATACGTTAGACTTTTTCTATGGGAAATTTCATTCTAGCAAGTATGACTATGTGGTTTATCAAACAGCTTTAGCATCAGCAGACATATTTGTTTACAGTGATTCTGTTGTGTTTCTTGCCATCTCAGGATTATGTTCTGCAGCCGGATGGTACGGTCACCCCTGTGGTCAATGTCCAAAATCTGGTGCTAGACGAAGAGAGGACGGGACAGATCCTGAGTTTAGCACAGGTACATACTGATATGAGGCTGCAAAGAACTACTTATTCATTCATTCGTTTATAGTCAGTGAATCTATGGACAGTTTTGCAGTTCACTGACTAGCCGAGCTGTTATGTCTTCAGTGCTGTTATGTCACCCTGTTCTCCTTTGTGTTATGTATATATGTTTTCGTATCAACTTTATTGATCATAGAGATTTTTAAAGCGTGTTTATTTTTAGTTATTATTGCACAAAATGGCCACTAGAGGAAGGTTTTTACCCTTTCAGCCAGAGAAAAGAAGCCAAACTGAAGTAAGCTATCCGGATAGCCTGACTGACCTTAGTTTATGTTTGGTGTTCTCCTCATCTGACAAGTCATTTCTGTCATCTGAGAAATCTATTCACTTCGTTGTAGTGAACAGTTATTACTCTTATGTGATTGTAATAGGATATTTAGCCTCCTAGCAGCATCGTTAACTACCTTCCTTCCTTCTACCTTCGTTATAAAAAAAAAAATCTGAACAGTCTGCCTGCACAAACCCGCCTCGAAGCAATTGTGGGTTTTCAAAAGTTTCTCCCACCTTCAAAATACATCATCAAAAGGTGGGTTTTCTGCTCTGTAAACTGGAAAATCTCAACATTACCTCATTACCAGTGTAGGATGCAAGTAAGCTTGTATACAGCAGATGTAGTGATGGTTCTCGTTTTGCCCGGAGTGCCCCTTGAAACAATAGGGACCATATCTTGCCCCTATGCTTCCTATAGTGCTTTACGATTGGTTGGCATTATTGCATATCATATGAGCATTATTGAATGCTTTTGTTTAAGTCAGGGGTGCACAACTCCAGTCCTGGAGGGCCGGTGTCCAGCACAGTTTGGTGATTTACCTGCTCAGCCACACCTGATTACACTCATCTGTTAATCGGCAGGTTAAGTGGGTGTGTTTGAGCAGGGAAACCTCCAAACTGTGCTGGACACCGGCCCTCCAGGACCGGAGTTGTGCACCCCTGGTTTAAGTAAACAGGGACTTCAGTTTCGTCAGTGTCGTCAGCAGTTAATCACTATTGATAATGTGCTGCGATTTAACAACTCTCAATTTTGTTTTCTTGCCAGGCTCTTCGAGACCAGCAGGCTCAGGCGCAGCCCAAACTGGCACCTCCACCAAGAGCCACGCTTCTGCCAGGCACCGCCTCCTTGTCCAGCTCCGCCTCAGCCATGCTGCGCCTGCAGTTCTGTTCTGCCCAAGCCATCGCCGATGGCTCCGCCTCCACGACCCTCCGCAAGGCCAAACTCCTTCCCCCTCTTCTGCCCTCGGAGCCGATCAGGTTGGAGAACGGCGTGACTGCGCTTAATCTCCTCCCCGCTGTGGAGCAGGTAGACTCTGGGAAGCATGTGGAGGAAGAGGTTTTAATCATCCATCCGTACGAGTGCTCCGAGTGTAACCTGCTGTTCAGCACGCCGGAAGATTTCCTCCACCACCAGGGGGAGCACTTTCTGGCACAGGACAAAGAGAGCGGAGGCACCGGCGTCATGTTAGGGTACGAGGATGGTGCAGGAACAAAGGATGACGACGGAAGGAGGGATGAAGGGAGGGAGGAGGGGAATAGGATAGGGCAAGGGAAAAGCCTGAGCGGAAGGCGCCCGTACACCACCCGGATGGATGGTCTGAGCTTGAACTCCTCCATCTCTCCCACCAGCCTCCAGTGTGAGGAGTGCAATAGAACTTTCACCACGGCAAATCGGCTGGCGGCACATCTGAGGGTGCACGAGCAAGGAACGCATGAGTGCCCGGAGTGCGACAAAGTGTTCAAGAAGGTTGGGTCGCTGCATACCCACATGCGCACACACTCTGGGGAGGCCCGTTTCCTGTGTGTGGACTGTGGACACAGCTTTACTACAGAAATGACCCTCATCATACACAGGTATGGAAAGGAGTAGTTGCAGGCGTGTGTCCGGTGATGGTAAAAAATAATTTACTGGCAGTTAGTAGTTTATGCAATGCTGTAGTATTCCTGCATAAACATAACTGAGCTCTTAAACATGTTGGATGATGATATCCTACATAAATACCAAATTTATTGCATCTAACATGATCAGATTGTTCTAGAAATGCAGCTGCGCTAGTTGAGCTCTTTGCAGCAGGTCGATATTGTGTCTGTACAAAAAGCCACCTCTGTGCTACAATGTACATTTTAGTGCATCTTCAGAACACGGCGTCAGGTTTCGGACTGAAAACACGACTCTGGTCTCGGGAAAAACATGAGTAAAACCCTGTCTCAGCTCTCGTTCATCAGGTGAAGGGAGCCCAGCAAAATGGCTCTGGAGAAGAAGGCAAAAGGCTAAGCTAAGCGACCACAAACTTCCAGATGTTAAAGTTCGAGTAACATTTCGCAGTTCTGCTGTTTCTTACTAGATTAATTACAGTGCCAAAGTAAAGATGACTGTATACTGAAACCACAATTCTTACTTTTTTTTCTTTTTTTTTTTTGACAAAGACTAAGACTCAACTCATTGTCAGTGCGTATGACTGTGACAGCTACTTTCTACACCGTTAATAAGAGGTCTCTGTTAAGTAGAGGTCTAAGTAGTGTATAATATACAGATTAAATTAAGTGGCCTATTTTTTTTGCAGTATTGTTTCCTAGAAGCATCTCTAACAGCTGAAGTCTGAATTTAAAATATATTTCTTACACAAAAATAACGTAAACAGAGCTGAACAATATGTAGTTAAACCTGCAGCACGTTACACATGCACAGCAGTTTCTCTGGGCTTCCAGGACACTCTTGCTTACATCTACAAGTGCAAGACATTGCTGGAATTTAGTAAATATTACAAGTCATTCACGCCATCAGTAGCAGACGGGACCAGGCCTCGAGACCATGGTGTTGTAGGTGCAGTTGATTCCACTGCATGTGGTGCAAGAGAACCTAACCTCAAGAGACCTTCTATATCTCTTTCTGATCTTCACTTTCTCGAGCTGGACAAGCTGGACAGATGTGAATTCAGAGCGTCACTGACAATTGTTTTTTCTTTCCTTTCATAGGAAGTCCCACACATCTGAGCCTCTCCACAGGTGCCCTTTCTGTGCCAAAACCTTTACCAACATGACCAAGTTCCTGTACCACCGGCGCACTCACACGAACCGTGAGCCTGTCAACCCTGCATCCACGGTGTGTTCAGAGCATACCAGATGAAATGTGGCGTAATATTCTGCTCAACATACTGTATTAATTTGTATAAATACCCTTTAAGTATTACATTTCACAGTTTATCTTTTTCTTGTGCAGGTTCCATTGACTCAGCGCTTGCCTCTGTCCATCATGCAGAGGGCAAGAGAACGAGAGGCTGCATGGAGGAAAGAGAAACAGGCAGCGCTTATGGCTCCTGCAACTGCTGAACTGGACTCAAGTGAAACCGTTCTGGAGGCCGCAGCCTCTGACTCTCAGGCAGCCATGGTAACAGAAAATGGGGTGGATTCTGAGCATCCAGCAACAGAAGAAGTAGCAAAGTGCCTGTTGGTTTCAGATGACCCAAATGCCCAAAGCTTGGCCAGTACAGAGGGTTGTGGCAAAGAAGAAGAGAAAGTACTGGCTTCTGTTACGGGAGAGTCTCTAAAATTTCCTTGCTCCACCTGCAATAAAGCGTTCTCTTCACAGATCCGCTTGCTGAGCCATAGGCAGGCGGCCCACTCCAGTGAGCGGCGCTTCAAGTGCAACATCTGCGGCAAGTCGTTCAAGAAACAGATCCACTTGCGGAACCACCTGCGTACGCACACAGGCGAGCGCCCTTTCCAGTGTAGCGTGTGTGGCAAGACATTCTCCTCTCTGGCCAATCTCAGCCGTCATGGCCTCACGCACACCGGTGTGCGGCCATATCGTTGCGATGTGTGCCATCGAGCCTTTAGCCAGTCATCCAACCTGCGGCAGCACCGCCTGCTTCATAGCAACCTTGCTCCCTCACCCTGCCCAGACTGCCCTGCCACCTTCGTTCGGCCAGAGAAGCTCGCGGCCCACCGCTTTCTTCGTCACCCGGGGTCGCCGGCACCTTACCCTTGTCCCCATTGCCCTTCAGGGTTCTTGCGCAAGCGGCAACGAGAAATTCACTGTCTGGAGGAGCATCCTGACCTAACGCAACCTTTCCAAGATGGCACTCAGGCTCAGAACCCAGGAGCGGAAGGTCAGCAGGCGTCGAGCAGAGGCGGAAGCGGAGCACCGCAGGCTCCTTCCCTCGTACCCAAACAGAACTTCGACTGCACTATTTGCGGAAAGCGTCTGAACTCTCCTGCTAACTTGCGGCTACATCAGCTGAGTCATGGTCTGGGACCGGGCCGTCCCCGGGGCTCAGGTTCCGCCTCTGGGAGATCGCACCCTTGCCCCGTGTGCGGGAAGCTCTTCGTTTCGGCCTCCAGTGTCACACTTCACCAGCGGGTCCACACAGGAGAGCGGCCGTACCCTTGTGCCGTTTGCGGAAAACGCTTCAGGCAAAACACGCACCTGCGGGAGCACTTGCGCACGCACTCTGGCGAGCGGCCCTACCGCTGTGAGTTCTGCGGGAAGGGCTTTGTGCAGAGCATGCACCTGGCTGAGCACAGGCGCACTCACACTGGTGAGAGGCCACATGCCTGTGCTGAATGTGGGAAAACCTTCAAGACGGTGTCGAACCTGAGGAACCACCGCAAGACCCACACGCGCGCCCAGCCACAACAGGAGGCTGAGCAGGGCAAGGATGTTGTCGCCATGGAGTCCAGCGTTGAGACCAATGTGGCAACGGTTGCTGTGGTGGATGCCTCAGAGATGAACCTCGCTACTGCGGTACCGACTCTTTGCCAGCAGGGGGTCCAGCTCGGGCAGCCACAACTCATACAGATCCAGACATCCGGTCTGGCACAGGTAGGATTTATTTTGATTACGGAGTAGAACAGTTAAGTTTAGTTAAGTTAAGTTAAGTACCCAGCATACATTACAATATCATACTACAAACATATCATACAACCATTGGGAAACCCCATTGGTGTCATCCAATCCTGACCTGAAGGCATTCATGTTCACTTACATTCTGACAGGTACAACTTCTTGTTGAATGTTCTTGGAACGCCACCTTAAGATATTGAAATAATCTAACCATCTTCCTTTCTTTCTCTGCTCTGTCAGACTCAGGGCACTCCCACTATTATGTGTAATGAGTTTGGGGAGACGATAGCCATCATAGAGACGAGCGGCGACCTGGCGGAGGCAATAGAGCTCTACCACACGGCACTGGAGGGCGGGGTCAACATGGAGGCCATCACACTGGACAACCTGCAGCTGATGTGAGCGAGAGAGGCTGCATACTGAGACTGTTGAAGAGCGAGGCTGGAGGATTGATGAGTGGAGACGAAATTGGAGGGATTGGGAACAAACCACCTTGACCTCTGAGAGCTTGAGAGGAAGCTGGCTTGAGGAAATGTGGTGGGAGAAGGTGGAAGCTGTAAGAGTAATGGCCTCTCAGGTTGGGTCAGTCTGAATTTCTGAGGGATGGCAGCGACGGTGATCGAGAGAGCGAAGACAGCGGTAAAGTAAAACTCCAGCGTTTTTCAACCTGACCTCTATCTGCTGCATCTGTACACTATTAAAAAAGATTCTTCAAGGGTTCTTTATTCAAGAAAATGGTCCTGTATCGAGCCATGAACGCTTAAAGAACCCTCTGCGTGATTTAGGGGTTCTTTGCAAACACTTTGAAAGCGTTCTTCAGATTGATGAAAAATGTGCATGAATGTGCTATAGACGGTTCTATATAGCATCCAAAAGGGTTCTTCTGTTGTTACAAGCTTGGCGTTGTAATAATAGAAGAACCCTTTTGGGTGCTATAGAGAACCATTTTCAAATAGGTTCAATCTAGAACCATCTACAGCACATTCTCCATCAATCTCAAGAACGCTTTTACGATGCAAAGAACCCCTCATGCAAAGGGTTCTTTTGAGTTCATGGTTCTATACAGAATCATTTTTTTTAATGAAGAACCTTTTTTAAGAGCGTAACGTACAGTTGGTGACCATGGACAATAATTTTGACCTCCACTTGGTACAACAGAGGACCTGTTGATCAAAATGTAGTTAGAACAGAATCCCTCGCTGGAAGCAACGCTTTCACAGCAGGTGTTTCTGATGGGATCAAAGTAGTTGTTCATGGTGATTTGTAGGTATGAGATACGGCTGAAAAACGCTGGAACGTTCCTTCAAAAACAGTGTCATTGAAGTGAGCCTCATTGCAAGGAACTTCGTAGCATGACTGCATGATGGACTCCGAAAGCTTCTGTTTTCTGGACGATTCTTTCCCAGGAAAGCATGATGGCATACTTGCTTTGCGGGACCTTTACTACACCAAACAGGAAAAACTGAACCCTAAGTGACGACGCCTGAGCAGAGGACTCGCCTCAGGCGCGATGTTGACTTATCCCGGAGATGGCAAAGGGACAACTAGCCAGAACCCGATTTTACAATCTTGGTTCTCCTGGTCTGTAACTGTCTGTTGAATATCTTATACATGTTTTTTTTTTACTTTACTATATGAGCAGCAATGTGGAACGTCAACGATGTGTTGTAAATAAAAACTACAAGTTTGTCTCTGTTTCCATAAGCATTGTTAATGGTGGTTTTTGGACAGGGCTGTCACTAGAAAAGTGTTGACTGATCGATTACTCTGATCTAAAATCAGCTGCATTGTTTCTTGGGTGTGGACTAAGCCTAGTTTAGCACTACATCAGTGGTGATTTATCACTGAAAAGTGCCTTTTTAGTCCAGGGTTGAGCTTAATCTGGGTCCAGATTAACAACCCCATCCTATAAAGCAGGCATGTCAAACCGGGGACCTTCCAGGCCGAAGTGCTGCGGAGATCAGCGTCTAACGCTCTGCAATCAGTTCTGCATTCAGAAGACTTTGTTAATTAGCTGATGAGCTAAATCAGGTGCGTTCTAATGAGCGTGCTGAAGTCTGTAGCGTTGTGGCCTGCAAGGACTGGAGCCTGACACATGCTACAAAGTGTAATTTGTTAAATGTCACTCATTTTAACCAGTGATTTATAAACCTCCATTTCATATTAGCACTACTGTATAATCTATGAATTTCTGTTCGTTTAGATATGACAAAATGCAAAAACTGGTCCATTTCTGTTGTTTTGTCGTCTTCACCGTTAACACTGATGCTGCTGTGATTTGTTTAGATAAATTATGAAGTTTGTGATCTAAGAAAGCCCAAAATTCATTTTTAGCTTATTGCAAACTGCCCTTGATACAACATTTGGAAAATTCCACTTGTTTGTCCATTTTACTGACCAAGGTGGACATGCACCAACTAATCTGGGGCAGGGTTGAATCAGTTAAGTGTCTGAATGTAACACTGGTGAAATGTTTCTGCACTCATTGTCCATTTTATCAGCTCCACTGACCACATAGGAGCACTTTGTAGTTCTACAGTTACAGACTGTAGTCCATCTGATTCTCTACATACCTTGTCACCCTGTTCTTCAGTGGTCAGGACCCCCACAGGACCACCACAGAGCAGGTATTATACGGGGGATGGATCATTCTCAGCGCCTCAGTGACACAAAGTGGTGGTGGTGTGTTGCGCTGGTACGAGTGGATCAGACACAGCAGTGCTGTATCTCACCGATTAGGATTTGTGCAAACTTTTTAAATCAAGTTGGGTTGTTAAAGTCAGTATTAATGGGAAATCATAAAGCATTTTCTTTGGCTGAAACATGATGTTATAGGCTAATTCCCTGCCCACTGGTGAACAGTGACCATCAAAACCCAGAAGACGTTTCAGGGGCAAAAGTCGTTTTGATGGAGGTTAAACAAGTAAACACAAATTGCATCTTTTAAATGATATGACCAGGGAAATGAACTCAGATTTCAGGTTGACGCTGCGTTTATACTTGTGGCTTGGTTCCCGTCACTCTGGACCAAAGCGGAAAATGATGCACTGTTGCATTTTAGTTCTGGTTTGCTCAGCGTTCACTGACATATTTAATATCGAGCAAAAACGTACATTGCTGTTAAAAGTATTGCTCCTTTCCCGATTTCTTCTTCTTTTTTGCATAGTTGTCACAGTTCAATGTTTCAGAGCATCAAACTACAGGGTGATTCAAAAAGATTCATCCGATTTCAAAATGATTTATTTCACTTGTAAATCGTTACAGATCAATGCAGTAAACTGTGAATGGTTTAAATGAGCATAAAGTTTATTATGTAATTGTACAAGGTCTCAGTATGAACCTCCTCCAGCTGTACAGACAACATCAACACCATAGTCAAACTCATCCCATACTGGATTGAGCACGTCGGGTGTCGCTGCACTCACGGCTCTTTCAGTGCGATTTCGGAGATCATCCAGTGTTGTGGAACCAACGACGAACGCTTTCAGGTTCACTGCCGGCGAAAATCACGCTGCACAGTTATGACGGACTCACTCTTGTTTAAGTGAACGCAGAACGCTTTCTGCTCAGGGGTCTCCATCTCCTCTCAGACGGAAGGGAGCCATCTTCCGGTGACGGTCAGAAACTCTATGACCCCCTCTTTCAATTGGATTGTAATTGGTTCCTAGGCGCCTCACGACTGTCAAAATATGGCGTTTGAAATCGGATGAATCTTTTTGAATCACCCTGTACTTTTAATATTCGATGAAGATAATCTAAGTAAACACAAAATGTATTGAAAGAAAAATGCTGTTCAGCCCTACCTGGCCCTAGGTGAAAAAGTAATTGCCCCCTTAGCTACTAAATCAACCAGTTGACCAAAATCAATTGCCTACTGGGTTCAGTTTTACTAGCCACACTCAGGCATGATTACTGCCAGACCTGCTGGATCTAAAGATCACTTAAATAGAACCTGTCTGGGAATGTGAAGAAGCTAGGAGGTCTCAAAAGGCAGCACTTGATGCCACGTTCTAAAGGGATACAAATACAGACGGAAAACAAATCTACCAGTCTGGAAAGAGTTACGGAGCCATTGCTAGGTGGTGAAACTTCCCAGGAGAGACCGGCTTACCAAAATTTCACCAAGAGTGCAGGCCTCACTTGCCTCAGTTATGGTCAGTGTGCAGGATCCCACAATAAGACACACTGGGCAAAAATGGCATCCATGGGAGAGTTGCAAGGTGCAAAAAAGAACACAAAGGCTTGTCTCGCATCTGCCAAAAACATCTAGATGATTCCCAGGACTTTTGGTATAATATTCTGTGGACTGATGAGTCAAAGATGAAACTTAAAGCTGACACCACATTCCACCATAAAAACATCATACCACAGTGAGACATGGTGGTGGTAGTGTGATGGTCTGGGGCTGCTTTGGTTCTACAGGACCTGGACAACTTGCCACAATTGATGGAACCATGAATTCTGCTCTCTTATCAGGAAATCCTGAGGGAGAATGCCCTCCTTTCAGTTTGTGACCCAAAGCTCAAGCGCAGTTGGGTTATGCAGCAGGACGATGAACCAAAGCACACAAGCAAGTCCACCTCTGAATGGTTCAAAAGAAACAAAATGAAGGTTCTGGAGTGGCTGAGTCGAAATCCTGACTTGAATCCCACTGAGACGCTGTGGTGAGACCTTAAACTGGCAGTTCATGTTTGAAAACCGTCCAATGTAGCTGTATTACGATAATTCTGCTGAGAAGATGGGGCCAAAATTCCTACACAGTGATGTAAAAGACACAAGTTATCACAGACGTCCGATTGCTGTTGTTGAGCAGTTATTAGTCTTAGAGGGGCAATTACTTTTTCACAAGGGTGATAAAGGTTTTGAATAAATCTTCATTTTCCAAAAATGAAATGATCATTTAAAAGCTGCATTTTTGTGTTTACTCAAGTCATCTTTATGTTATATTAGATGATCTGAAACATTTCAATCAGACAAAATGGCTTAGTTGATGGTAACTGGTGGGCTTGCATTACTTGTTAGCTACATGAGCCTCGTAGCTCCAGTGCAAAGCAAACGTGTCACAATAAAGGGGGAGACTGTTAGGCCCAATCCCATTTCACCTCACCCCTACCACTCAGCCCTACCCCTTCGTTTTGCATGTTCACGTCTAGGGGTAGGGTGTCCTGACTGTTGTTGAGACAGAGGGGTGGGGTGAAGTGTTGGGGCTACATGACCCTCCAAACAGGGGTTTTTCAGAGAGTCCAAACAGAGTGATATGAGAAAAAAGACAAACCGGCGAGACGGCTGAACAAGAGACCAAAGAAACACACAAATGTGAGAATTTTCTCTGTGAAAAAATTACAGTAACCACTGTTTAATCTTAGTTTAATGCCGTTTCAGTGTATTATGGTTGTTTTCTTCATTACAAGCATAAAGAAAAAAAAAGCATGCTAATGTCTTGATAGCTAGCCAGCAAACTTTCCCATTCCACCTTAAATAATGAAGCGCCAGAATATAACTGCTGCACCATTTAAGGTGGAACAGGAAAATCTGAACAAGAAGCTGGCGAATATCTGACTTCAGCTTCATATCACTGAAGAATTAGGGGGGTGATAATAAATAATTGCCCCCCTCTTTGAAGATCATATGATGCCCTAAATGTAACTAAAGCCCAGCAGTGAGGAGCTGAACTTTCCCCTCCTCTGCTGTCACTGCAGACTGGCAGGGTCGCCTACAGGGCAGCGCTGGTAGCTGTTAATGAAGTGATGCTCTTTTTATTTGAGGGTCTCATTTCATAGAGGAAGATTTCAACCACTACACCTCGTAACTCAGTTCCAAGGAGCAAGGTGACCCTCAAAGACAAGGGGTAGGGGTAAACAGAAGAAATGGGACTGGGCCTAAATGAGATTTTTTGATGAACCGTTGCTTGAGCTTCTGCTTTGTGCCTGTAAAGTCAGCACAGCGAGTCGTTCACATAGAGAAGTTTATTTGAACATCTATTTATTCGTATACTGAGTGAAATAGATACAAATGTAGAGCTTATTTGTATAAATCCTTTCACATAATTAGAAAAACAAAAAAAAACAAGATGTTAATATTCATATTCATTTATTTTTTTCCTTTTGTTTTACAAGTTCAGTTCCTGTAATAGCATCGTTTAACCTTTAATAATGCTTCTGTTTTTTTTATTTTTTTCCGTTTTTTTTTGTTTTTGCTCCTTAATATGATGCGGAGTCGTGAGTCTCCGCTGGAACTAAGTACAACACGAACAAGCCTCGCACGATAAAAATCACCACGGACGCCCGGCCTCCTCCTCCTCCTCCTGCTCTCTCTCTCTGTCTCTCTCTCTCTCTCTCTCTCTCCGCTCAACCGAAAGTGATTGAGGTGTAGAAAGACCAACAAAGCGACGGGAGGAAGTGAGGGACGAGGAAACGGGGAGGAATGTTAGTGGAAAAGATAAAAAGTAGGTCTAAATGACGGCTGGACGACACGTGAGCATGGCGATATTTGTACTTTCGTACGTGGAAAAAAAGTAACACGTTTCAGGTTCTAAAGGTTCGGGTAGGAAATAAAAAAGGAAATGTTAAGAGTCGCAGTGGAAGTGCGTTGCGGAGGACGAGCTGGGAGTGGAGTCCTCGAAAGCAAGACGAGAAAAAGTACAGTATGTAAGGTTATACAGATTAGATCCACGAGAATAGTATTAATAAGAACAGTAATGAGAAATTCAGTAATTCAATAATAATAATAATAATAATAATGTAATGACCTGTAGATTTAAAAATCAAGTTTTGTTGCTTTTTTAAAAAGTTATTAAATGTCTTATAGTAAATTCTTAAGAATATATTCCAACATCCTCTCTACCTCTTGCTCCGTCTCACGACGAGTAAAAAAAATGGCAAGGAAAGAGAAAATTAAATATGCTGCTTCTTAATATATATGGAAAAGGAGAAAAGAAAAAGAAAGAAGAACGTGGCCGTAAATGTGCCCGCTGACTTCCCTTCCAGTAACGTCTTCCTTCATGGCTGCTCGGGACTCCAGCCTTGCCGCGGCCAATCATAGGAAGAAGGAGCTTGCTAACGGCTGCGCTAACGTGCTAAGCTAGTCCCTTGCTGAGGCTAATCAGTGCCTTGACAAATGCTCTTCCCAAAAAACAGGTTTAAAAAAGTGGAAGGAAGAAAATGATCAAATAGCAAAATATATAGTCCGTTAGGTCTTCATCATTTCTAAAACCTAGCCAATGGAGGCCGGCCTCGCAATGACTGGCGGTAAACCATGAGCCTAGGAGAAACAATCTGTGCCCATATGATACTTCCATATATGCCACGTTTAAAAAAAAATGAAAACAATTCAGTCTGAAAATCGCATGCCCTCATAAGTCCCGCCTTCGCGGCAGCCTTCACGGTCTTACAGGACACCCCCGAAGTCCTCAAGTCACAGAGTCCGAAAAAGGAAGCCTTAGCAAGTCAAATAATGCTTTAAGTTCAAGTGTAGATACTTAAGACGATGGACAGTGGTGTGTGTTCGTATACGTGTGCGTTCGCGTGTTTATGTATGCAAAACGTGACCTATTGCGAGTCATCTTGCACTGAAATGTCTTTTGACAACATGAAATACTGTGGAATTCAGTTTAAAAAGCCCAAATCAGGGCTCGTCTCCCCCCTCTGGACATCCGCTCCACATTCAGACTCCGCTCAGAGCGGTAGATGTGTCTCATATAGATGCTGGGGGGGAGGCTTCTGGTCAAAAAACGGAAAATGTCCCTTTTGTCTTGTCTGTCGAAACTCATCTGGTGGAGTCCAGCGAATCGCCCGCGTTCCTGGCCTCCTCACAGCTCGTTTGCTCCTCCTCTTGCCCCGCCTCCTTCTCCGGGCACTCAGCTCCGCCCCCTCCTCCTCCATCACTGCCCGCAGGCCCCGAAGGTCCCGGTAAACAGGCGGAGTCCGGAGCCCCGATGCTTTCGGACGGCGCGGCCGTCTGCATGATCTTCTGCCGCACCTCGCGGATCTTTAGCTGCAAACACACCTTCGTGGGGAAGATGTCGACGTACCGCGCCTGGAACGCTGCGGTCGCTTGGGCTGCGGAGAGAAAGATACGTGAGAAAAACAGTACGTGAGAAAAACTCATGCATACGTGCAGAGTCAAATATTCACTTTATATTAAAGTGTTTATTTCAATCAGTTTTCACTTTTCATGAAGTCAACAAGGGTCAGTTACACTGCCATGAAAAGGTAACAAGCCCCTTTACATTCCGTGTCATTGAGAGCCTCGAGGCTGAAGCTTTAGGGTGATGCTAACCTACACTAGAAGACTTTAAAAGACTTCTGAAAGACTAAAGTCTGACGCCCTCTCACATCTAAAGACAGTGTCACGGTTTTTAGTCACAGACTATGATTTTGCAAAGACTGGGAATCTTGCAGTGTCACTATTTACAAGAATGCAACTAGATTTTTCCGCTCTGTAGTGGTGCAGATGGGAAGATATGCTGGCTGAGCGCGTTAAGATCTGGGGCTCAGCCCAGTTCACTGTAGAACTGTGCACTCTGGCAGATCATCACTCAGAATCTTTTTAATTAACCTGTAAAATCAAAATGTGCAGCTACTTTTTTATTTAACATACAGATTTACACATCAGTGAAACAAGCAGCGATTCTGCACTGTTGACTGGGTGTTAGGAACTAAAATGGATGATTCTTTAGTGATACATCACTGTTACACTCAGTGAACGTCTCTTTCTCTCTCTCTCTCTCTCTCTCTCTCTCTCCATCTCTCTCTCTCCTTTTCTCTCTCTCTCTCTCGCCCGCTCGCTCTTGCGCGCCCCTGGCGCACCACTATGTGCATGAGCCAAGGCTTAAAACTTACGATAATATTAAACACGGCTGATTTTGTCGCAGCGTCAAGACGAGAAAAAGACTGACCACCTAAGACCGCCATCCTGACCACCTCCTACTAAACGATCGAGATGCGAGAGCGACGCAACTCCAGCAAGACTCTCAGGATTTATTTCCGACTTTGGAAATTTGTCTGCGAAAGTGAAATCGCTTGGGTAAAAGAATCCTTTTCGAAATGGTTCTGCATAGAATCATGAACACTCAAAGAACCCTTTGCATGATTAAAGGATTCTTTGTATCGTAAAATGGTTCTCCCGATTGATGGAGAATGTGCTGTAGATGGTTCTATATAGAACCTTTTTGAAAAGCGTTCTATATAGCACTCAAAAGCATTCCTTCTATTGTTACAAGCTTGACAACGTAACTATAAAAGAACACTTTTTGGTGCTATATAGAACCCTTTTGAAAATGGTTCTATGTAGAACCATACATAAGACATTATCCATCAGTCTAAAGACTAACTCTTGAAGAATCATCTTTTTAAGAGTGTAGCTCAGGTACCAGGCGATTAGCATTTCTGTTTATTTTGAAGACTTCAGATTGACTTTCCCTCTGAAAATTTCAAGCCACATCTCCTACACTTTTAAAAAAGATGGTGCTTCAAGGGTTCTTTAGCAAAGAAAATGGTTCTATATACAACCAGGAACACTCAAAGAACCCTTTGCATGATTAAAGGTTCTTTGCTTCATGAAAGGGTTCTTCAGACTGATGGAAAATGTGCATGAATGTATGATAGCTGGTTCTATATAACACCCAAAAGGGTTCTTCTATTGTAACAAGCTTGATACCATAACAATGGCAGCAGCGCCGAACAGAAGTCAAAGCCTGTAAACGGTGGAAAAGCAGCTCATCTCACCTTTTTCTCCTTCGTCTCGCTCTAATAATGAAGCTGAGAGCTGATCAGAGTTAATTATCTTCTCAGCAAAGCTCGTTCTGCTCGTTAGTTTGTGCTGATGATGCACGTGGTTCATTCACGTGACGTTACTGAGTAGGATGTGCGCATGAGGGTCATTTCAGGAAGCCGGTTCGTTCACATTAATGACAGATTTGAATCACTTACCTAAACGAGTGTGAACCATCGTGTCAGAGAGATCGGATTTGAGCAAAAAATCGGATTTGAAAAATGAGGCTTGTAAGGCGAACGTAGCTTTAGTGTAGGTTACCTGAGGGGAAGAAGCCGTGCTCCTGGAAGAGCTGCATGACAAGAGCTCTCCTCTGATCCAGCGTCCTCCTCAGAGACGAATACGGAACCTTGTCAAACTCCAGCTCCCCCAAGATATCCTCTCCATCTGTACCTGAGAGAGAGAGAGAGAGAGAGAGAGAGAGAGAGAGAGAGAGAGAGAGAGAGAGAGAGAGAGAGAACTTCAGCTGTGGAATGAACTGCTATTGTGCACTAGATATAATGTTATAAATATAGAGCATTATCTTTACTAGGCTAAAAAAAAGGTTCAGCCCTATAAGACAGTAAAAACTCCAGGAGTAAAAGCGTTAAGCCGTGTTACCTGGCCTGTCGAAGGTGAAAATGTCCCCCTCACACTTAGCAGCACTTTTGGGTGTGTTTGGCTCCGAACTGCAGCTGGACCTGCGGCGGCTTTTCCTCTTCGGAGAGATGGGGTCCTCCGTGGACGAATCCAAATCTACACAAACAATGCAGACAACAGAGACACCAAGTTACAAAGTGCTACATCCACCCACGACTGCAAAAAGGACCTCTGTGTTTATGAATAAAGACCTTTGAATGGTTAGACCAGCTATTAACAATCCAGTTGGCTGATAATGTTGGCCTATAATAACAACCCAAGGTATATTTAAAAATACTGACAGATGTACAAATAAACAAATAAAACTGAAGAAATGTCTTTCAAAAAATAATTTGTAAAATGTAATTAATAGAAATGTACGATGGCATTTTAGGGCAACTGTTAATAAAAATAAAAATAGTAGGTTTTGAGAATAAAGTCGAAATATTTCGAGAAAAAAAGTTGTAATATTTCCAGAAATAAGGTTGTAATATTTTGAGAATAAAGTCATAATATTTCGAGAAAAAAATCGTAATACTTTGAGAAAAAAAGTTGTAATATTTTGAGAATACAGTCATAATATTTCGGGAATAAAGTCGTAATATTTTGAGAAAAAAAGTCAGAATATTTCGAGGATAAAGTCGGAATATTTTGAGAAAAAAGTCATAATATTTCGGGAATAAAGTCATAATATTTCGAGGATAAAGTCGTAATATTTCAAGCCTAATTATTCTCTCTTTTTAATTAGTGTTATTTAAGCACTGACGTTATCTACGATATACTCAGAAAAGCATACTATGACATATTGTGACATAGTTTATCATGATAATGATAATTACTGTCATACTGCCCAGCCCTACCCCGGCCCCTCCCTGGGTCTTAACTAGTAAGACATCTTGAGCACTTAAAGCCTGTTCAGTGTGTGTGCATCTCTCTCGCTCATGCTTGCCTCTCTCACCGGTTGAGTTCTTCCTCTTCCTGCGGTAGCTGCCCAAAATGGCCCGTGGGGAGGTGGCCAGGCTTTGTAGGGTTGGGGAAGGAAGCACCTCCTCTGGACGAAATTCCGGTAGCTCTGCGAAGCGCTCCTCAAAATACACCTCCGACAGGACCCTGCGGCACAGCCAATCACAGCTCACTGTCAGGGTATCATTACCAATAAACAGAGCCATAGCTAAGCAATCATAATATTTATACTGATTATCTGTCACGAAGGAAACTTACTTGTCAACAGAGTCAAAAGGCCGTTTGAGGGGCGGTGGGCGGGCCTTGACCTTTTTGGGAGGCGGGGCATCTTTGTCTGGCTGTGAGAGGGGCGGGGTAGGATCTGATCCTGATGGGGGTAATGGAGAAGAGGAAGCCGAATCCTTCCATTCGGTCTGTAAGAAAATGAAAGAGACATTATTTTATAAGCATAAATAATTTAAGCAAGTTAGAATGAGATACATAATCTTAATCCAGTATGAATCTGCAGTGTGTGTAGTTTTACAGTCTGACTGTAATAATTGTGGAGTGATTTTAATCCAGTATGAATCTGCAGTGTGTGTAGTTTTACAGTCTGACTGTAATAATTGTGGAGTGATTTTAATCCAGTATGAATCTGCAGTGTGTGTAATTTTTATAATCTGAACAGGAATAATTGTGCATTGTTTTTAATCCAGTATGAATCTGTAGTGTAATAGGACACACATAGAAAAAGACATAAATGAATTTTGTTCACACATTTTATCTAATTTTATAGCATAGATTTTTATAGAATTATAAAATAACTTATAGATTCTATTTTTTATAGAATACAGTGTTGGAAACCACAACAAACAAGTCATTTAAGAGTATGTTTGAGGTGAGTGCACTTTAATGCATTTTAATTCATCTGATTTGTTTCTGAGCTGGACAGGCAGGGGGCATCGTTATGAAAGTCAATAACTTGCTGCTACTTTTACAGCCGGTCGCACTCACCTCCTTAGCATTAGCCTCCTTACTGCGGCCGCTTGTGGCTCCGGCCTCACCCACACTGTGGGCATCACCTTCTGAAGAACCCTCCTCTAATGAGGATGCAGCAGGAGAGACTGTTTCTCCGGCTTTATCCGGCTCAAAAGAGAAAAGGCTGCCACTCTCCTTCTCCTTCTCCCGCTCCCTGTCTTTCTCCTTCTCCCTCTCTTTCTCTCTCTCTTTCCCTCGCCCTCCTCCATCGTAACAGCCCACAGGGATGTTGGCTACAGTGGCCTTCACCTTCTGTGGCGGTCTAGTAGGGACTGGGGGCAGTTTAGAAATGCCTGGACCGCCTACTGGAAAACACACAAGGACATGGGGTCAAGACCAAAAAGTAAAACTGATTAGCTCAAAGGCAAAACAAACACACTGAGCGATAAAGTAAAAAAGATGAAACAAAACAAGGATGAAGTCAATTAATCCTAAATGTTTTATGGAATGCTCCATTTATAATTGTATTTATGCTCACTGTGCTCAGTGAACAGCCTGACAGTAATAATTGTGGAGCGATTTTAATCCAGTATGAATCTGCAGTGTGTGTAGTTTCTACAGTCTGACAGTAATAATTGTGGAGTGATATTAATCCAGTATGAATCTGCAGTGTGTGTAGTTTTACAGTCTGACTGTAATAATTGTGGAGTGATTTTAATCCAGTATGAATCTGCAGTGTGTGTAGTTTTACAGTCTGACTGTAATAATTGTGGAGTGATTTTAATCCAGTATGAATCTGCAGTGTGTGTAGTTTTACAGTCTGACAGCAATAATTGTGGAGTGATTTTAATCCAGTATGAATCTGCAGTGTGTAGTTTTACAGTCTGACAGTAATTATTGTGGGGAATTTAAGCCAGTAACCAGTCATTGAGATATTATTCTTCGATGTACTGATATAGCAGAAGACTGCAATATGCAAATGAGCCCTCCAACCAATCACAATGGTTTTACCACGTGCTGTGAGCATCCTGACAAATCACAGCTCCAGATGAGTGTTTCTGTGCTATTCAAGTAATCCAACATTATTTTGGTCAGTCATCTTTACTGATTCACCAGTGTGTTCAAATACTGAAAGGTGTATTGTGATCAGAATATGCAGCAATATAACCACAATACTGACATTTTGTCCACAGAAGACTATGTATTAGTCCATTTTTCCAGCATGTTATATTACTCAAAAATGTGAGGAACTAAAAGTAATGGACATACATGTGTAGTCCAGACTAACTTGTTAGCAAACCATCCCACAAAGTATCATCAGCTGTCCCAAAGTGAAAAACTGACTGTCCAAAATATTAAATGGCTTTGTTTACATTAGACTTTTCTTTTGGTTTCTTGTAGTACCACATTACAGATTCCCCAAAATTAAATATCAGATAGCAATACACAGAATTAATGCTTAGCACACACACACACGTATAGACACACAGTACATACAAACACATTTATGTGTATACAGAATCTATGAGAGTATGAGTACCAAAAGCTCTGCAAGTAAATATGTTAACGTTTTAAAGCATCACTTTTACTCCTTGTACTGAACTGCATTCCTGAAATGTCTGTAAACTGAGACTGTGCTCAGATTTACTTGCAATAACTATTAAAAGTTTTATATATAAATATATATATATATATATATATTATTAAAGTTACCTTCAGAATAACTATAGAATAAGTTCATCTTTGGCTCTGAAAGGGTGAATACTAAAGTATCTAAAGCATTACTGAACGGCTTAAACGTCACCCCCTGTGTTATTTTTATCACCCCGGGATGGCGCTATTCTAAATTGTAGTGATGTTTATCTCATTGCTGTACCTGTATGTGAGGGCTGGGCTGGGCTGCCTGGCTGCAGAGTCAGTGACGTGCCTGGCGGGGGAGCTGTTGAGCTACTGCAGCTTTTTCCGGCAGCCTGAGCCAATCTGTCTGCCTGAGCCACAGGCAGCTTGTCTGTTTGTCTGTCCGCTGGCTGGGTATACATGTGCCCCTCCGCCGCTCTGTCCTGATGTAACTGGCGCTCTGAGTGTGCCGGGCCGTGACCCTGCCTGTCCGAGGTCACCAGGGTCGTAGAGGTCGCGGAGGTCGGTGAAGTGTGTTTGGGGAGGATGTGAGGAGAGAGGCTGGAGGGGCTGGACACCGTATACACCACACCAGGTGGCACTGTTGCAGCTGAAACCACCCCGGTGGCCAGGGTGACGGTGGTGGGGGGGTATATGGCGGTGATGGCCGGGGCAGGGATGGAGGGGTGAGGGTTGGGCGACTGCGCTGGAGCTAACAGAGGAGGCTGACCTGGTAGAGCATCAAACAGAGACATGCGGTCACTGACAGTGATCAATCAAACTTCTGCCTTACTCAAATGCAGATAATCATCCATGTCTGAAGTTTTGCTCTCAGTTTTGAAGCTATGAGGCTAATAAGAATCATTAGCATGGATGCCTGAATCATCAAATTATCTTATCAAAGCCACGTCAATGTCATGACAATTTAAGTCATCTCAAATAGACTCACTTGTGTGGTTTCTGGTACTGTTTGAAACACAGTTATCTACAAACATGGACAAAAGTACAGACAAAGTTTAAAGGCTTAAAATAGCTGCTACTTCTGCTATTGGGTATTTCCACACACGTCTATCCACTTTTATAGATAAGAGTATGTCATGTAGTGTCAGAAACCACATAAGCAATTCTGCTTCAGAGGACGTTTGTGGTCATTTAGGGAGGCAGCTTTGCTAATGCCAACGTGTGGCTATAAGCTTCCATAACTGAGCTACATTAGCCTTGTAGGTCCTGCGCAAACCTAAAGAAGCAAAATTCAGACACCAAGCACGTCTTGGTTGACCGTATTCTTCTGGGAAAACAGGGAAAATGTATATATTTGATTTTTGAGAAAATAATAACGATAATAATAATAATAATAATAAAAAAATATATATATCAAGTTCTTTAAACAGGAATATAAGTACAACATTGGAAAGATACAAACACTACACCACAAATTAAAATAACAGCACAACTGCAAACGACAGAAAATAGGCCCCACTCTTTCTAAGCATATCGTTGCTGTCCAAAAAAAAACAAGTATGTCCATTTTTTGCTATTTTTGGTTTTCTGCATAATTTGAGCTCAGCAGCTGCCCTTTACTCTGGGTAAAATTTCACGATAATTGCACCAATAGAAATGCTCCATAATATAAATATATATAGAATATAAAATTACATTAAAATACATTGAAAGCGAAGCTTCTTCCCACAAGCCATTACTCGCTTGAACAGTTAAAATATTACACATAAAAATATTCCAGCTTCTAAACTGCACTCTAGACATATTGGTATATATTATCACACTCAACAGTCACAGACCAGTGTTTCTTCTAGCACTTCACTTACCTGCCTTATTACCCCACTTATCTGTTACCTCACTGATCCCTTTCTCTGCCACTATACACCCTTTAACTGCTGCTGCACTCAGCACTTTAACTTTAGACCCATACTTTGAACAATGTAAGGTTTACAGGTATGACTGTGTGTGTATGTGTGTGTGTGTTTGAGTGAGTGATGGTAGGAATGCATGTTTTATTTTATTTTGTTATATTTTATATTTATTTTATTTTATTCACCACATGTAAATGTCTGTCTGGTACTGTGCACTGTGAGCTCCTGTAACCAAAACCAAATTCCTTGTATGTGTAAGCACACCTGGCCAATAAAGCTTGATTCCGATTCTGATTCTGAAAGTAAAGAACTTTTTTGCCCTCTCTTGTAAACATACAATTTTGGAGATACTTGTTCTTCTTTGGACAGTGATAATGTGCTGGATTTTAAAACATATCGAACCTGCATTCCTAATATACTTTGCTATTCTAGAGTTTAGGAGCCACTAGCTGAGCTGTGAGAGATCCTAGAAGTGTGCAGTAAGACCGCCTCAGCTGAGCCGAGTGGTCTGGACTAAACTTAAAAGGCTAGGGACTTGGGATGCACGTTCCTATCAATTTGGATTTTTAAGTATCCGTAAGAGTTAATAAGAGCATATCTGGTTGACCGTTATGAAAGAAAAGTCAAAAGCAAAAAAAAACAAAAAACAATGGATTTGGACCAAAATTTGCATGTGGCTGTAGACTTTTGACAGTACTGGAGGTTAAAATTTGTTTTATTATTCAAAAATAACCAGGGAAATTTGTCATTTTTGGGGTTGGATGAGCAACAGAAGCTGCCTCTTTTGTGAAGAAATGAGCCAACAGTAACAGGTAAAACATTGGATGCTGATGAAAACTTGTCCTCTTCTACACAAGGTCTTCTCCTTAGTGGACGATGTGCCCACTTGTTCCTCTGTCAGAGAAATATCTTTAACTGTGTCTAGATCTAGGTAACCTCAGCTACAGTAGTTAGTCTAGATGCCTTTTTAGTGACATCCTTCACAATGTGGCCTTTGCAACAAGCTCACGTTCAGGAGTTCGTACTAGAAAAGTATAACATACTTACAAAACTGCCCCATTTTACAGTCCAGTTAAAACATCCTTCCTGTGTTGAAATGTAGCGAATAGTGATTTCAGTATTTGAATACTGGCACCCTGAATGTTTAACCGAGCACTCAAGCATCCGTGCCCATCCCTAGTCTGGACGGGCTATAAAACATCAATAAATCCGTTAGATGTGTCTGAGCTCGGCCCTTAAGAGCTTCAAATATCATACGCAAGATCTTCACAGGAAGCCAGTGTAAACTGAAAAAGACTAGAATAAAATGTTTAAAACTTTCCTTTCCTGGTGAGCACACGAGCTGCTGCATTCTCAACTAAGAGCTGCGTCCACCAACCTGCAATAAGCGGCTGCACTAACGCCTGCCCTGGATGGGCAATTGCTGTGAAGGTCGCCAAGGGAGATGGCACATATGCTGATCCAGGTGTGGGAGGAGCTGCTTGAGAGGTGGAGCCTGTCGTTGTGGATACTAGTGGGATAGTAGAGGGTCCTCCTGGAGTGGACTGTACGTATGTGATTCTAAAAGAGAGAGAGAGAGAGAGAGAGAGAGAGCAGTTGGACCAACATGTAGCACTGCAGTGCTGGGTGAGTGTAGGAGTATTGAGAGAGAGTGGAGTGTTGGAGGAGTACAGTGTGTGTACGTGTCTCAAAGTGTGTGTGTGTGTGTGTGTGTGTGTGTGTGTGTGTATCATACCTCGTGGGTGGGGGAGGCAGCAGCACAGCTTGTGAGGGGGTAGAGCCTGGGGCAACCACTGTGGCTGTTGCCATGGTTACAGAGAACGGACTCCCAGCTGAAGGAAGTTGGGACTGGACAACGGGCATTGGAGCTATCTGGATGATCTGGAAGAGAAGAGAAGAGAAGAGAAGAGAAGAGAAGAGAAGAGGAAATCACAGGAAAGAAGAGAAGAGAAGAGAAGAGGAGAAGAGAAGAGGAAATGAAAGGAAAAGAAAAGAAGAGAGAAAAGAAATGAAAAGAAAAGAGAAGAGGAAAGAAAAGGAGAACAGAAAAGAAGAGGAAAGGAATTGTAAAGAGGAGAGAAGAGAAGAGAAGAGAAGAGAAGAGAAGAGAAGAGAAGAGAAGAGAAGAGGAAATCAAAGGGGAAGAGGAAAAGAAATGAAACGAGAAGAGAAGTGAACCAAATTTCTAATCAAAGCCACTGGCTGAATATTTCTGTATGTCCTGGTTAACTGATAACCTGTTGGTCACTGGCAGTCCTACTTAATGGGGTTACAAAAATGGTGTTAATAATTTAGCGCATTAACTCCTTTTCAACTTCTTCACTTCGACACAACCAGTTCAGCCTTTTTTATTTTAATTTTCAACCAAAATAAACTTAATCACGCTGCTCAGATCTTCAAACGTTTCTCACTTTGCTTCCTGCCTGAGCTCCATTCTGGACAGGAAGAGGAGGGGCCACCAGGGGAAACTGCTGAGAAGGGGCAGGAGCAGTCCTCACTGTTGCCATGGGAACCAGCATCTTGCCCTGTAAGACTGGAGACTGCGTTTGCACTGCAGAGAGAGAGAGAGAGGGAAAAAAAACACACCATCTGATATAAATAACAGGGGCTGCACCTCACCTACCTATCACAGGAGAGACTACACAGGAATAGACTTAACAGGACACACTGCAGAGCCTGAGTTCTCACAGAGCTAGTCAAGCCAAGTAACATTGCCAACACCTTTAAGTTAAGCTGTGGCTGTGACATTCACGTACGCAAAATCACATTGGCATTTTATATTTTAAAGGGAAATTCCACTGAAAAATTCAAAATTTGCACATTATTTGATCGTTGAGATGTAAAAAAAAGTCATTCAGAGGAGTCTGGTGTGAAATGGTTCATTGTGGAGACACTTCCAGATTTCTTTACAGTGGTGGTAATAGGAACCAGGGGTCACCAATAATGAACCGACACGTATCGTATGAGTTTTTATATGTAACGCTGATGACGGTAAAATAGTGTTAAATCTGAATAAATATGTTTTCTATGTAGACTATTTTGCCTTACATGAACCTCTCCACCATTAATGGGTTTAAAGAAATAAGTTTCAAGGCATAATCTACGACAGCGTTTTAGGGCCGCTGATAATAAAAATAAAAATAGCAGACTTTGAGAATAAAGTCGTAATATTTAGAGAAAAAAGTAATAGAATTACGAAATTTAAGTGGCATTAATACCAGGAAAGGTCGCAATATTGTTGCCAAAGGCTTTGCAAAGGCAGGGCAGTCCCTCCTTGTGTTTAATGAGGGGCGGTGAGGAGGTGGTTTAGTTATACTTTCATATCGATTTTGTTATTAGTATAGGAAACGGCTGAAACGGCTGAGCAGGAAACTGTGTTTATCTAGAATAAAGAGCCAGACGGACTCGGAGGAAACTGTCTGTCTGTGTTGTTTAAGGAGAATCTCAGGCAGGGTCGTCTACACGGCTATCGGGGGCTCCATCTCCACACCATTCAAAGAGGGCATGAAGTTTCACAGACAGTGAGAATGATGATCAAAATGATCCACAGAGAGACAGGAGTGAGTAAAACTCCAGTACAGCAACCGAGACCCCAACGTGTTATGGCAGCCCCGCCTACAGTTAGCCCCCCTACAGTTAGCCCCTTTTATCCTCCAAATATTACGACTTTTTTCTCGAAATATTAGGACTTTTTTCTTGAAGTCTACTGTTTTTATTTTTATTAACAGTGGCCCTAAAATGCTGTCGTAATAATCTGATCTCAAACTTATCATAAAACAAAACCTCAGGCATCAGGCAACGTATTTGTAATCATTTCATCTAACAACTTCCTGTAAGGGAGCTTTTAGAGGCATTAAACGCTTCAGATGTCTGGTTCCTATCACCACCATTGTGAACAATGCTGACCTAAAATGGAACATTTCATATCAAACCACTCTGAATGACTGTAATTCCTAACAATTTTGTTATGTAGAATTTCTGAAAAATCAATGTTGTTTAAATTGTATTATATTTACACATTCTCCTCACCTCTAGCTCCTGGGCTGACCACGCCCACTGCCGGGCTGGAGGCGTATCCTGACTGCTTCCCATTGGCCAGCGTGGGCGGAGCTGTGGGCAGGGTGAAGACACTGGTTGGCTGGCTGGGTTGCTGAGGGGAGGGGCTTTTAGGGTTGTTGGCAGAGAGAGTGGGGAGGATATACTGCACTTGCGTGATGGGTTTTTGGCCTGTGGGGGGCGCTAGCGAGGCAGTGGGCAAAATGTGCGGCTGCAGCAGGGGTACAGGCATGGGGCCGTTACTCTGAGTGGCCGTGGCCATGGCGGGGGAAGCAGGGTTTTGAGGAGGAGGAGGGGGCGTGATCAGCTGTACAGCGGGCGGAGCCTGGAAAGGACTGCCCAAAACTAGATTCGTAACTAGTCCCCCTTGACTAGTTCCCCCCGCAGATACGGGACTGGGCGAAGACGAGGAATAGTACCCACCCCCTCCTGCGGCCCCGCCTCCAGCTGCTCCAGAGCCAATCAAAAGCTGCGCCTGGGGGATGGCGGGTTTCCTCTCGTGAGGTGACTTGCTGGCGATCGGCACCGGCGTGCTAACGACAGGACGGACCACGTTGGTGACCACAGTGGACGCCACCCTTACTGCCCCCAGACCCAGCATTGAAGACACACCACCACCGCCACCGCCACCTGAACTGACCAATATGGACTGGCCAGAGGAAGACAGAGGGATCGAGGAGTGAGATGCCCCTCCTTCAGCGTCCTTCCGCTCGCCCTCCCCTCCCTCCATCCCTCGCTTCCTCTTGGAGGCCGCGTCGGAGAAGTGTCGGGAAGAGGGGTAGGACGACAGAGACACGCTGCGGCCCTGACCCGGACCCGACGAGGACGAACAAATCACAGGCGCAAAGACTCTCTGTGGAGGAAAAAAGCAAAAGGAGAGATAATTACAACAGAGGCCTTCATACTATTATGTAATTACTGAGGGGGGTAAATCTCTGACCTCACAATGATTCGATTCAGTTATGATTCTTTGGGAAATGAATCACGACTCATGAATCAACAAGTGCCATGAAATCTCAAATTTCATGATTCTATTAAATAAAAATACATAAAAGGCACTTTACACTATAATGGAATATGGAAAATAAAAAAATAAAAAAACACACCAAGCCTTTCTGGATTTTTACATTTGAATAAAGCCAAAAAATGTAACTTTGACCATAAAAATTAGCACATATTTTACTGAATATTATTACAGTCAATTATAGTCAATTATTAACATTCTAAAATCAATGCACCAATGTATTGTTACATCCATACTAACTACATTATAGGCTACCACTTTACTGTAGAGTACTGCTCATTAGCCTACATGACACCTATATAAGCGTGTCATGATAGCTGAAATGACCCTACATAAATGTTTATAAATGCTTATTCCAATAGGCATCATTCCCTATAAGGATTACATTTAGCAATTGTGATCAAAATGAGCTAAAATAGCCTTTATGACACATGATGCCTATTGGAATAAGCATTTATAAACATTTATTTAGAGTTATTTCAGTTGTCATGACAAGCTAATGTAGGTGTCATGTAGCCTTATGAACAGCACCCTACAGTAAAGTGTTACCCATTATAGTTTAGTCAGTCTTATATCCACAAAAGGGACTGAAGAAGTCAGTAAGTACCATCATTTTACAATTCACTTTTTTAAAGGGGAATTCCACCAATGCACCATTCTAGGGAAACTTCTGCTTGTTCACAGTGGTGGTGACGGGAACCAGACGTCCACCTCTAATAAGCTCCCTCACAGAAAGTTACTACATGACATGGTTATGAATTCGCTGCCTGATACCTAAGACAGAAGGTTATGACTTAAAACATGTACATTTTTAATCCATTCTTGGTGGACAGGGTGTTATGAGGCAAAACAGTCCCCGAAGAAATAAATAAAATGGCCATATTTGTGTTGCAGACATTGTGACCCGTATTTATCGATGTGGACATTGTGACCTGGTTCCTATCACCATCACTGTAAAGAAATCTGAGTCGGCAAGTTTCACTACGATGAACCACTTCACACCAAACCACTCTGAATCACCTCGTTTACCATCACTGAATTTCACAGAAATTTAGAAGAATCTGCGGAATTCCCCTTTTAGACCTGTGTGCTGTATGTACTGCATGCGTCTGTAAGTGTTACTAGAAGTGAGAAGTGAGAGATGCAACCTTGCGCTCTCCTTCATCTCCAGATCCGTTTTCACTGTCGCTGTCCGTCACCTTCTCTTTACACTTCAGGTCTATAGAGCTGCCTGGATACGGGTCCTCTGTGTAGAGCGAGACACAGAGCAGCATTGAGTTATTGAGCAATTTAGAGTTAGAGGCTGAAACAGGACTGTGACCTACACGTTCTCTCTGCAGGTGTTAAGTGAACCTGCTGTACTGTAAATGTCAAACGAGTTGCATATTTGTGAGCCTGTTCGTGGTTTTGAGAAATACCCATATCCTGTTTGTTATTAGAGAAGAGAACAGACATGTGAAGGCACAGAGAAAGTCAGCAGAACGTTAGATCTGACTAATTCCAGCGTAACAGTGTCAAATGATGAAGATGGTAAATGGCTAAGCTTGACTCACCGATGACATCGTCGTCCCCCTCCTCTTCACAGATGACCATGCGCTCCTCATCGCTGGTCATGTCTTCGCTCACTCCCCTCTGGACCTGAGACAGAGCTCCGCGGCTCGAAAACTGGCCCCCGTCCCCACACATCTGACACGCAGAGAGAAACAGAGGGTGCATTCTGTGTTTAAAGCGACAGTCTGGTGAAAAATCTAATCTACACAGGTTTCCGCTTATCCTGAATGGAGTCAAGATCTGTTCGATTTCTGAAGTTTGCTTCTTTAGTTTTGTACTGGAGCTACAAGGCTAATGTAGCTAACAAGTAATGGAAGCTTATACCCCACCAATTAGCAGTGTGCCCCTAACTGCCTCTATCTACCTCTGTCTATAAAAAAATGGACAATTTAGTTTACAGGTACAGTCATTACATGTTAGCATATAGGAGCACGTTGTAGTTCTACAGTTACAGACTGTAGTCCATCTGTTTCTCTGCATACTTTGTTAGCCCCCTTTTACCCTGTTCTTCAGTGGTCAGGACCCCCATGGACCCTCACAGAGCAGGTACTATACACACTAGTGTGTGCTGTGCTGGTGCGAGTGGATCAGACACAGCCTTAGTGTCGCTGCTGGACTGAGAACCTAAAATATCCAGGCAACAGCGTCCTGTGGGCAGCGTCCTGTGACCACTGATGAAGGACTAGAGAATGACCAACACAAACTGTGTAGCAACAGATGAGCTACTGTCTCTGACTTTACATCCACAAGGTAGACCAAGAAGTTAATAGGGTGGACAGTGAGTGGACACAGTGTTTAAAAACAGCACTGCTACGTCTGATCCACTCGTACCAGCACAACACACACTAACACACCACCACCACGTCAGTGTCACTGCAGTGCTGAGAATGACCCACCACCCAAATACTACCTGCTGTGTGGTGGTCCTGTGGGGGTCCTTCAACAAAGTACGCAGAGAAACAGATGGACTACAGTCTGTAACTGTAGAACTACAACGTGCTCCTGTATGGTCAGTGGAGCTGATAAAATGGACAGTGAGTGTGTATGAGTGTGTGCATGTGTATATGTGTATGTTTTACCTGTGCAAGCTCTGCTAGCACCTGTGGGTTTCCTCTCTCACTCCTCTCCAGACTGTGCATTGCACTCTGGGAAAAAGCCCGGGGGCGTGCATGCCCATCCCCACCACCACGCTCGGACACGCCCACCAGGCTGGGCGCCACCCCTTTGAGCTCAGTGCCCATAGACACAGAGGGAGGCTCTGAGTGAGACAGATTGAATTATTTAAAAATGCATGCACATGAATATTATATGCATGTATGAATTGATCCAGATGAGATAATAGCATCATAATGTCTATATGTGTGATTACAGTACTAAGACAGATGAACTACTGTGTATTATGTAGGCTGTTACTAAGAAAATGGACGGTTATAAAGACAAATAAATCAACAGTTTAAAGCTCCTGTCAACACGGTTTCAAATGTTTAACATTTTGTTTTATAGTAACGATACGTCACAAAAAAAAAGGGCTACCAGTATTACATTTAAAAAATATTTAATATTAAATATTATTATATTAAATAGTAGACAAATGTTCCAAACATTCAGACATGCTGCCTGCTCAGAGGCAACGTAAACAACCCGGCTCCAGTGGCAGTGATGAGCGATACTGCCAATGACGCTAGAGATGGAACACGCAGCAGGCAGGATCGCTGTGGTTTAGCTCTACACGTTTGATTTAGAAGAACAAGATCCCCCAGCAGGAAAACGGACCTCTTTGGTCTTCTCAACCGCTCATTAAAGATCTAGCTGCATTTTCTAGACGCGGCTACTGTTCGAGAACTCTCATCTTATGAATGGTCGATTGCAGATATATGGTGTCTCATATATGAACACTCAGCAGCACTAACATAATATCCGTAGCCTTTAGCTAGCTCACTGCTGGACATCTGAAAGTGAGGCCACTCAAGCTCCAGTTAAGAGTCGGCATGGTCATATTTGCAGACACTGGAGAAATTTCTCGTGTGCCACATCTGTGAAGTACAACTGCGGGTAAACACTGTTAGCCTTGAAGTTAGGGGGTAGCTAATATGACACTAAGCTAACGTATTAGTTTATTCCTACAGTTAAGTTGGACTGCTAGCTATCTCGCTCTTGTAGATGAGGGTGAATGTTTCTAGTAGGATCCTGCAATGTGTGGCTAACGCAGGTAGGAAGCAGTGTCTAGCTATGCTACAATTCGCGGTGTAATAAATTTTCCTGACAAGCACTGTTAATAAATAATAAAAAAAAAAACTTAAGAAAAATAAGACATAAAAATACTTAAATAAGCTCCTGCTGGGAGTTTAGTGTGGGACTCGGATCAGCGGGAGATCAGTCACTATGTGAGGGAGGGGAGCACGAGTAGCTGACGTTTACATACTGCTAACTCTGACTGGTACTTCGGCAGATCTTACGCCAACTGCGCTAAATTTAGTCCCAGCAAACTCAAATCAAACTGAAGAAAACCGCAGAAAAAAGTGACTTCAAAAATATCTCAACAGAAAAGACTAACAGCATTCTTTCTCTGCCAGTTCGTTATAAAAACATCACAAAAACTACAGATAACAGAAGAAAACTATGAGAATAAGTAGACAGGAAAGAAACACATTTTAACTAAAGGCCACAGAGCACAGTACTTCTACTGTCCGATCCCATACCTGTCGTCTCGGACATGCTTCTCTCTCTGATGTCCTTTCCCCCAGGCATGTTGCGGCCCTCGCTGCTCGACTTCTTCCTGTCCTTATTACACCACTTCCAGTCTGGGTGGGCCTTAAAGTGTGCCTCTTTCACCTGAGAGAGAGGCAGCATGGGCAATTATATTCTACACCAGGGTATTTAATTAAAATTCAATAAGGTCCAGTTAGAGAAAATTTCCTCAAGCGAAGGTCCAGAACATCATAATGTCTAACTTGCATCATGATTCAGTGCCATATACTGTTTACTGAAGTAGCCTAGTAGGTATATCAACATCTTATACAGTCAACAACTGAATGTCAAATCAAATAAAGTACAATTCAGTAACATTTCAACAATATTTATTGTCAGTTTTCTCTTTTTAGAGCAAGTCATGTAAAATAACTTCCCTCTGCCTCACTTTCTTCTCTGACTGCTGTTTCTCGCCTCGTCCCTCCCCTGTGTGTGCGTCACTCACTCGAGTCTCAGTGCTCATCGAAATGCACAGATCTGATTGGCTAAATAGCGTCACGTGTGATATTTACAACGCATGCGATTGGTCTGTGAGTCTCCCGGGCACCTAAAGCTACCATAAAGGCTAGAAAAGCTACGCCGATTAAAATAGGACCACCCTGCCGAAATTAAATAATTCTCCGTAGTTTATCGATTATAGGTCCAGGTCCGCACAGGACAGCGTCTGGGTCCAGACTCGGACCGCGGTCCGCCTATTAGTGACCTCTGTTCTACACTTTTCTTTTATTATATTTTTTGCCTCTGAAGTCCACTTATGATGTTAATATACAAAAAACAATTCATTTTCATTAATTAATTCATTTTAACATGAGCACTGTCCACCCCCTCTTTATCACTTAGCGCCTTTAAAACTGACATATGTAAATAAACTCTGCTCTGATTGGTCGTCCTGTATTGGTTAAGCCTGGTTCAAAAAGCAGGCCGGGGTGAAATGAGCTGGAACACAACACTCCTCACTGCAAAAAACAAAAAATTATCTAGCTTATTTTAGTTAACTTACCACTCTGATTGGTACTTATTTAACTTATTTTTCACTTGTACTGCTTGTTTGAAGCATAGTGAGATAATTTGACTTACTAAAATTACTTAAAACAAGTAAAAAACAAGTAAAAATAAGTGAAATACTTGTAATAAGCTTACAACAATCTCAAAATAAGAAATATTAGACATACTGATTAGATTTAAGATGATTTTGCTTGCCCAGATAGCATTTTTGCAGTGCTTATAACTCAGTGTGAAGGGGCTGAACTGCTGTAGGCTGAATGGACGGCCATACGTAAGTGTTCAGGCTTGTGACATCACAACTGTGATGAATTCAAAACGGTCTATTTTTGCAACTCGGCTTCAAACGTAGATGTATACAAAAGTTACAGCTCCCCTGGTCAAATGACATGATTTGATTTTCTAAGTGTAAATAAAGGAACACATCCTGCACAGAGAACACACTTCTGTACACTTTAATACACATTTACTGTTTATTTAATAAATTTAACACATTGGAAAAAAATAAAATAAACTGTGGTCTGTACAAAAGTTATGTTTTACTTTATTCTAATATGTGAAACTTGGTAAAAAAGTAGAAATTGTGGACTAAAATTTGCTGAAAAATGTCATTTTTATGTCTGTAGCTTTTAGAGGCTTTTAGAGGTATTAACTTATTTTCACTTAGAAAAGTGATGCTCGAACTTTTGCATACAAATGTATAGACTGAATGGACTGGTGACTCTTAGGCTACGTTTACACAGCAGGTAAAAGTGGCCCAAGTCTGATTTTCTCACCAAATCAGATTTTTTTGTTTAGCTGTTCACATTATCTTCTAAATGTGATCTGTATGTGACATCAGTCTGAACAGATCAGCTCCTAAACTGACCCACATGCGCAAAGGAACAACGCTTCACGCGGCGGCTTGTCCAGAGGTAAACAGTCATGACGGCCAGAGAACGCCAGTTGCTCCAGGAGCTTTCAGTCTTGTCTTCGCCAGGATCACAGGAGCGATTATAAAGTTCCAATATTTGACAGCTGGAATCATCACCCAGAATGTGTTCGAGTTCGCCGTGAAAAGGGCGCGTTATTCGGCCACGGCCACTTCTTTGGTTCGTGTCCTCGGATTCTTTAAACATTTTTTTTTGACGCTGCAGCCTCTGTCTCCTCCGGCCGCGTACGATAAGCGGTTGCGATAAGTTTCTTCTAAATTTTTGGTACAGAAACATCAGACTAAATGTTTATGAGTCTCAGCAGCGCGAAATTATGACGAATGTCGAGTTGGACTGACGTAAAAGTCGCGTTGCCGCAGATTGGATACGGATCAGATTTCAGTACCACGTATGAAAGCGTCTCAAATCAGAATTGAAAATGTCAGATTCAGTGTGTTTATCTGTTCACACAGACACACATCTGTCTCACATATAAAGAAAAAGATCGTATTTGGGCCACTTTTACCTGCTGTCTAAACGTAGCCTTATTTAAAAGCCAGAACATTTCAGTTTTACATTAGATTTCCCCTTTAAGAAAACCATTTCTAAATATGAGCCAGTAGAATTCCTAACTGGTTAGCACTTTGCTGATACCACAACAGAGATTTCCGATAGTATGACAGTCTAAAGGAGTGGAACAAAGCGCATTAGATCATATGTTACACTACCTGGAATGCAAGGTCGTGGTATTTCTGCTTCTCTTTGGGTCCCAGAGCGTACCACCACTCTCCCAGAATCTTGCTAACGGTCCGGTTGTCCTGATTCGGGTGCCTCTGGTGAACGAGGGCACGATGGCGCTTGCTGAAGATCATGAACGCGTTCATCGGCCTCCGGATATGATCCTTCTCCCTCTACAGAATTAGACAAGAAGGAAGAGACAGAGAGAGAGCATTAAGTCATACACAGCAACAGTAAATAGCTAAAAGCAGGAGCGGCAGTGGTTTAAAGTGAAGGTTTGCTGAAAAATCAAATGTACACATTTTCCCCTTAAACCAAATGCAGTCAGTCAGCTAGGACATGTTTCGTGTCTTCAGTTTTAGACGGAAGCTACCAGGTTAAATTAGCTATCAAGAAACGGAAGCTTATACTCCACCAGTTAGCACTGTGCTTCTACCTGTAATAGCACAGTGTTATCTATAAACACTGGCAAAAATATGGACAAAATTCAGGCTTCAATAAGGATGTTATTACTGTTTTTAGCAATGAGAGGTTTTGTCCACGTTTATAAGATAACAGTAAGTCATAGTGTCAGAAACCATATAAGCAAGTCTATTAGAGAAAACAGCTCAACACGGTTTGAGGCAAGTGCATGATGATCTATGCACTTAGCACAATGCTAACTGGTGGGCTGTAAGCAGAGCTCGATTGGAGGGGGATGGGAGGGGCATGCCATGTACCCGGTCAAAAAAGTGACAAAAAACATCCCTGCTTTACATCCTCTTTGGATTATCTTGATATATCTCAAGATGAATATTATTGATAATTTAATGCCATCCATATGTGAGGTTTATACACTATGGGAGATTTTTATGTCAAACAAATTCAGGGAAAAGATGGTTATACAGAAGAGGTTGTTATAATAATAATAATAATAATAATAATAATAATCTTTATTTATATATCATATAATGCAAAATGCAGCTCAAAGTGCTTTACAGTACAAAGTCAAAAAGTAATAAAAGCAAAAACAGTGGAATAAGAGAGAAAAGGTAATCAAAAAATAAAATTAACAAATATAAAAAAAGGACCAAATAAAAGCAATAACAGAACGGGCATATATTAACATTTAAAATTTAATATTTAAAACAGTTTAAAATCTTAATAATTGTGTGGAAGCACATCTTTTCACTTTTTGTTGGTTTTGTTGCAGAGTGTTGGTACAGTGCGATCCTGCCATGAGGCTTGCCAAGTTTTTGAATTCGCCGCCAAAATGATAAAAGTTTCAGCTTTGGGTGGTCTGATTTTAAGCAAACCTTGAACTGGTGATTTTTTCCAGCACCTGGCAACCCTGCCTGCCATAGAAAACCTTAAAAGCACAGCAAGATCTGTGGAACCTCTTTTAAAAAAGAAAACAGGTGCTGAAAACCAGCCTTGCCCAGTGAGAGATGTTTGAAGATGTTCGGGATTATCTTAATATTTGATTAAATAAAATGTAAAAACTACATAAAAGGGCAGCAGCTGCGGTGCTGATAACGTTATGGTGATGTGTGTTAACATTATGCCTAATACTGTAAGTAACAGCAGTGCTGAGTAGCTCAGTTATCTTGAGGATGGAAAACATCCCAATCCCAAGCTATCAACCGAACCCACCATCCCTCCTGGAATTTTCTTACAATTCGGCCACTGACTGTAAGGCTCCACTGCTGGTTGTCTACATTAGCCACATTAGCCTCGTAGCTTCAGTGCAAAACTAAAGAAGCAAACTTCAGACACCAAACATGTCTTCGATGATCTACTACACTTGGGCTAAGGGGGGAACCGGGCTATGCATTCCTGAACACGTACCTTGCCAGGGCTGTTCTTGTCGTCTTTGGGCAGAGCGCTGAGGGACTGAGAGCGCCGTTTCCCTGTAGATGCTGAGATCGGCGGATCAGGGAGAACACCCGGAAGAAACCTGGACACACACAGTTACGAACGGTTACAAACTCAAACACTGCATGCTAAGTAGAACGATTCACATTTGCACACCGTTCAGTTTCATGTCAGATTAGTTAATTTACATTTATACTAATAACTGTACACATCAGGCACTAAAAGGTATTTTTAGATGTTTCGTTTAATTTTTTAAAGGTTTCATTTAATACCCCAAGTTGATAAATGACAAATAATACGCAATCATCGTCTGTTTAATGATACTTGTCAAGTTATGTGTCATAAGATTTGATTTTTCATCACCACTTCTGGAATATGACACATTCTGGATGTTAATTTTATTTGAGGTTTGAAGCCACTTTATAGCAAAAGTGGTCAATTTAGATTTCATTCTGGACACATCCCAAAAAATTTTACAGCTTTTTATCTAGCTATTAGTTGCAGAGTAATATCATAATATTAAAAGCATTTACAGTAATGTGCAAAAGCCAGAGTCCCTTCATTTAATTAATATCCAAGTTATTCACTTTTCAGTGTCAGGAAAAAAGCAGAAAGTATTTATTTAACAGAAGCCAAACACAAATATAATATCAGTTTTTTCAGTACTTAGTACAGAGCCCTGCTGGTGACATCTGGTAACAACACATGGGGACGGGATAATAAGGTGTGGGAACAAGATAATTAAGTCGTGGCTACGACTTAGTGAGGTGTGGGAACGAGATCATGTAGTAAAAGCTTAATTATATAATTCCCATGCCTTACTAAGTCACGGCTACGCATTAAGATCTCGCTCCCGCGCATTAATACAGCATGGCAATGACTTAGTAAGGTGTGGGAACAAGATAATTAAGTAGTGGCCTTGACTAAGTGAGATGTGGGAATAAGCTCATGCCTTATGAAACTGTAGTAAAAGCTTAATTATATTATTGCCACACTTTAATAAGTCATGGCTACGAGTTAGGATCTTGTTCCTACGCGTTAATCCTGCGTGGCTACGACTTAGTAAGGTGTGGGAACGAGATAATTAAGTCCTGGCCACGCCTTATTAAGCTGTGGCCAAGGCTTAATCATATCATTCCCACGCCTCACTAAGTCGTGGCCACACATTATAATCTTATTCCCATGCATTAATACAGCATGGCTACGACTTAGTAAGGTGTGGGAACAAAATAATTAAGTCGTGGCCACAACTTAGTAAAGAGTGGGAACGAGATCATGCCTCATTAAGCTGTGGTCAAGGCTTAATTATATCATTCCCATGCCTTACTAAGTCGTGGCCACACATTATGTCACCAGCAGGGCTCCATACCTTAGTGTGTCCACTCTTTACCTTTATTACAGCTTCCATTCTTTTCAAGAGACCCACTTTCAGTTTCTCTAAGAAATCTGCACCCCCCCCTCTGAAGTTCAGAGTTCTTAGAAGTTGGTTGCACTTTCTACTCCTCACAATCCAAGAAATCCCAAACACATTCGGTGATGTTGAGGTCTGAGGGCTTCCCAACAGCTACATGCCCTCATTCTCCTTTCTTTCCTTATACAAGTGCATTATCATGTATCTAATCTCCTCAGAAAGATCTCCTGAAAAACAAATAACTTGAGGAATAATACTGGTTGTTTTGACTGGAAACTAAATAAATGAAGGGTGGCCTCTGACCTACGCAGAGTACTGTGCCTGGACCAAAACAGGTCTTATATTGTCGACAACAAGGAATCCAAAACTTTTAAATGGTGAATCCTAATTACAGCACTGTGCATTCACTACACAGGCAGTTCACAGACTGATATATCCGGCTCTTGATTCTTATCAGCATGAGTTTGGTGATGAGCTCATTAAGACGCGATGCAATTTCCCCGTGGAATCAAGAGGAAAGCAATCTGCCTGCTTCCACTGATCATTTATATGATCATTATGTTTGACTTGCAGCACCGTCTCCATCCTGTACTGGGTCCTGTGTGTCTGATCGGGCATTCAGGTTCACCAATGACACATCACAACTAGAAATTGGATAAAAGCATTAGTCTTCAGAGAGGCACTAATTTTTTGGACAGAATAAATCATCAGGAGATTGTGAGTTCAATCCCCGGTGAGGCTACAGACATCCATGGATGGGGGTATAAGACAGCACAAATGGCCTCGCTCTCTCTGTGTGGGTAGGATGGCCCTCCATCTCCCCGTCCATCACTCAGCGCAATGCTTACCAGTGCAGGCGCCTGTTAGCTGACCTAACAGAACTGGCGATTAGCGTTCTCCTCCAAGTGTGTTCAGCTGTCCAACAACGCTGCATTAGCAGCAGTTTGAAAAGCAGCAGGCTTCACATGATTCGGAGGAAGCTTGTGTTTGCCTACACCCTCCTAACGCTGGTGGTATCGTGTGACTGAGGGGGTCGTAACTAGTGGGTGGAACTGGATATGACTAAAGCCTTGGGTTCACTGAACGACTTTTAAAGTCTTTGCAGATGATAAAAAGACTGGGCATGGTTTTTGAAGATCTTTTTGGGCGACTGAAATATTGGGGATCAAACACTACTAAACTTTTAATCTGCTAAATCGAACGGAGCTTACTGAACTCTCGCAAACTCTTGCGTTCTCCCGTTTCTAGGAGACGCAAATAAACAAAGGTGAAGTGGCTTGGTGCTGCTGCTGTTTTCTCTGCCAGCAGGTAAACATGTTTGTGAGGGTCATGGATTTAAAACCGTGATCCGTTTAACAAACTCTATTGTGCTCGTGCCTTAAACTCAGCTCATTAAAAAGCTTCGCTCCACACGTGAGAGACTTTTCGCCATTTAGGCCAATGAAGCAAGATGGCAGCGCACATGGACACTGCGGCTCAACGCTCTCCTTTATGGTGCTTTTTATGTGTATTTTTGTTTATATACCTGTTAGTAAATGTTACGTTTAGTCGTGCAAATCCCACCTACAGCTGCCAACATCTTTTAAGAACAGGATCACAGCAAAAACAGGCTGTTACAAAGGAATTTCTGCACTCGCACAACATTCCAGAGGCTGCTATATTCTTTTATATCCACCCTTTTTATTTTACTCTTTTTACTTTTTTATAATTTGAATTATTTGAATTATTTCAGTTAAATTTTTATTTTTACTTTTTTTTAATAATTTAAAGTTATATAGTTTTTCTTTTAATATCTTGCATTTTATATTTTACATTAGCCTATATTTTTGCTTTATTCCTAGTTTAATGTGCCGTTAGTATTGCTACCCAATAGTATCTTGAATCTTCTTTTGCGCCATCAGTTTTCGTTGCAACGAGTCTGTTCAGATTGGGTTGTTGATCAGTTTACACAACTAGATTACGCTCAGAGTCGGGTTGAAAAAAATCAAGCATGTTTGATATACTGGTCTGAAACGCGATCAGGAGACCAAAAACCTGAGTCTGCGTCCCTCACACACGACTCGACTCTCTCTCCAACTGTCGACCCTGCCTGACCCAAAAATCTACAGAATAGAGCCGACCAGCACAGACTTGGGCAGGCTTAAATTGGGGAAAAAGCTTGGGGAAAAAAAATTCTAGGCCTGTTTTGAAACATAAAACGCCAACACACGGAGCGACTTCCTACATAATCATAACTGAACTGAATCTTTGTGATTAAAAGAAGAAGCTGGAAATCATAAATCTGAAAGACAATGCGTTCACTGTTCTGTTTATCAGAGCTAATCTGACTTTGCAGACGTTATTCGTGCCTCAGTCTAGACTGTTGGGATAAGAGATTTGTTTACAGTAGCTATTCGGCTCATGTTTATGTGTTTGCAGTATCTGAGTGCTTTATGTTACTAGTGGTTTGTACAAGTTTATACAACATACATAGTGAAAACACATAAATCCTTTAAAACGTTTGTCTGAGGGCTCATCACATTAATAATATAGCGGACAGTGATGAGTCAGTCCAAAAGCAACGTTGCTTTGTTTGGGATGATTCAGGCTGATTTAGTAAACAGCGGTTCAATTCCAACAGGCTGTGAAACAGGTCTCACGTTTTCAAACTGTCCGTAAAGCAAGGCAGAACGAAGTAGAGCATACATAAACATGTTTAACTCAAAACACATAATGGTTAAGATCTGGCATCTGGGTCAGCCTCAGCTGTAAGCTCTAAGCTTCAAACGGCCACTACAGTAAATGCTGAGGTTATAATTTCTCCACAACTCACTTCAGTTCAAGTCTTATTTTAGAAACATGTAGATTCTGTAGTTGGTTCGATGACTTTCCTTTAGAAAAAGCTCATTTTTCTTCAGCTTAGATATGGATGTACCTCTGAATTACACTCTGGGCTTCCAGTATCATAAACACAACATCGTATCACTTCAGTATGGAGTGCCATTTGAAAACAGCACTATAATCTCCACATAATGTTTGAATTTCAGAGTGTGCAGTTGGATGGATTGGTGGGGGCAGTGAGGCTGAGTCAGAGACACCATGTTTCTCATGGTGTTAAATCTCTCTCAGATGTCTAGCATACAGCAGCGATGCCTCATAAAAATATGTTTATAATAAGTTAATAAGAGCAATCTATATATATATATATATATATATATATATATATATATATATATATATGTATATATATTGCCTGTGAAATATTCTCACCATGCCTATAGAATCTGGTTAAAAATTAGTTTAATAATTTGCTATATTATTTTGTGTGTTTTTAATATTATTTAAGCAACAAAACACACAAATTATTAATCAAATTTTTAACCAGATTCCACAGGCATGGTGAGAAGATTTCACAGGCACTAAAATGCCCACAAACTTGTGGAGTGAACACAGAAATATGTGAAAAGAGGCTAATCTAATTTTGGCTGTATCCGTTTTGTGAGAAAACTGTAACAGAAGTATAATTACAGTGCATACATTATGCTGTATCCCCATATTAACGCCACTGAATGTGACAAAAGGGCTACATTACATATAATTAAACTTGACTTTGTCTCCTGCAAGTGAGCACTTTCTGTACAAATGAGCTCACATAAGCAATCAAGTGCAAGACTATAAAGTAACTTAATGTC